GGCCATGGAGTAGCAAAAGGACCTTCAGTAGCAGGTGCTTTGTGGACCTTCAGTGGCAATTCATCTTGTGTATTTTTAAGCAGAACAAGGGCAATCCAAAGAGGAGCAAGACCCTCAGGGAGAAAAGTTGAGCATTCTCTCAACCGAAATATTTGGACTTATCCTTTGCTCTATTCCTTGTAAACCCTGATGTTAATACAACTTTTAGAAAAACCTTACTCTTGGTATCACATAAACTTGGATCTACCACAATTTAAATGATGCTCCTGTAAACAGATTTCCCCAGGAAAAAAGTCAGCTACAACTTGGTGAGTGTCCAAGGCAGGCTTGTTGAAGGTCTTCACTTCCTAGGCCTCCTCTGGTCAAATCTCCCCATCCTGTATCCATCGAATCCCCCAAGGCCCTGCCAGATGCCTGATTTTTTATTTGTCTCAAATAAATGTGTGGAATTGAGATGTCAAATACTGATAATGCAAAGCACTTACACAGTACATGAAGAGGAAATATGACAAAGGAAAGGATGTTCAACCTCGACAGTAATCAAAGGAATGAAAATGTGATATAATTTTTCAATTACCAAATGAACAAAGGTGAAAAAGAATAAAATACTAGAGTCTGAGAGACTAGGGACATGGGAGATTGCATGCACCTTGCGGGGAGTGTACACTGACACAAACTTTCTGGAAAATAGTTAGGCAATATACATCATAAACATAGAAATTATTGAGCAGTGACTAATGATGCTCAAACCAGCCTTGTTTATAATAAAGAATGATTAGAAATAACCTGAATGTCCACCAAGTGAGAACTATGCATAACAATTATGCTACATTCATACAATGGAACATTGAAAAGACTTCAAAATGATATGATATTAATAATAGGCATGAAAGGATGTTCATTAGATATTATGTCCTTGAGGGCCTTGTAGTGCCTTTAATGTAAGGTCAATGCAAGCATACGTACACGTGCACGCATGCACACCAAGATCTAGAATGGTCGTCATCAAAATATCAACTGTGATGTCTTCTGGTTAGGAGAACTTTAAACGACTTTATTTTCTTCTTTTTTCATTGTTCCTAAAATTAGCAAAGTAATCTTTATTTTTAACTTAACAGCTAATACTAACACTAGTATTAGCTAGTATATCTTATATGCTAGGCACTGCTCTCATTGCTGTATGCTGTTATTATTCCTGAAGAAAACAAAGGTGATGGGAGATTAAGTAACTTACCCAGAGTCCACAGCTAGGGAAAGATGGAGCTGGAATTCAAAACCTGATAACAGGCCGGGCACAGTGGCTCACGCCTGCAATCCTAACACTCTGAGAGGCCAAGGCAGGCAGATTGCTTGAGGTCAGGAGTTCAAAACCAACTCTAAGCAAGAGCGAGACTCCGCCTCTACTATAAATAAAAAGAAACTAATTGGCCAACTAATATATATAGAAAAAACTAGCTAGGCATGGTGGCGCATGCCTGTAGTCCCAGCTATTCGGGAGGCTGAGGCAGTAGGATTGTTTGAGCCCAGGAGTTTGAGGTTGCTGTGAGCTAGTTTGACACCACGGCACGCTAGCCTGGGCAGCAGAGTGAGACTCTGTCTCAAAAAAAAAAAAAAAAAAAAAAAAAACCTGATAACATTGCTCCACAGACTGCAGTCTTACTACACTAATTAGCCCCAGTCCAGTGAGAGTCTCTTAAATCTTGGCCCCTAACAATCAGATTCCTGTGCTCAAAAGTCACCATTGTTAACCATGTGACATTGATCCTTCCAAAACTTTTGCTAGGCAAGTCCAGACACATGCACATACATACATGCGTGCATGCACATACATGTGTTTTTTTTCTTTTTTTTTATAAATTTAGGGTGACAGTGCCCATCCTGTGAGTATATAAGTTCACCTTCAAACTTTTTATTTAGCTATCGAGAGTATTCTACAGCACGGATGCACAGAATTGATAGAATGATGCTTCTCCTGAAAAACTGGCAGCTTCTTCACCCTAACAGACACAGCTGCAGTGAGCATCCTTGTATGCATTTTACAGGATGCAGAAGTGTGATTATATTCCTGTGATAATTTCCTAGAAACGGAGCCACTGGGTTGAAAGGTACGCACATCAAATGTTGAAAAGGCTGCCCCATCAAGAAAGTTGCCGTTACACCTGCAGTCCATGAGTGGCTATCTCTCCATGTTGTCACTGACACAGGGAGTTGTCAATCTTTTCAATTTTTGCCAATATAAGAAATGAAGAATGTTATTTCATTTGTAGTAATTTAAAAATCCTTGATTACTTGCAAAGTTGAACAGCTTTTCATGTTTATTGGCCATCTTTATTTCTTCTCAGAATTGTTTATTTTCTATTGGGTAATTTGAGATTGTTTAAATTAATTCAAAAGTGTTTTCTTGTATTTTAAATATTAGACTTTTTGGCTGGGCGAGGTGGCTCATGCCTGTAATCCTAGCTCTCTGGGAGGCCGAGGCAGGCAGATTGCTCCAGGTCAGGAGTTCAAAACCAGCCTCAGCAAGAGCGAGACCTTGTCTCTACTATAAATAAAAAGAAATTAATTGGCCAACTAATATATATAGAAAAATCAGCCGCGCATGGTGGTGCATGCTTGTTAGTCCCAGCTACTAGGCGAGGCTGAGGCAGTGTAGGATCGTTTGAGCCAGGAGTTGAGGTTGCTGTGGCTAGCTACGCCATGGCACTCACTCTAGCCTGGGCAACAAGTGAGACTCTGTCTCAAAAAAAATAAATAAAATAAATAAAATAAAAAAATATATAAATATTAGACTTTTGATGCTTTGTTGCAAATAATTTTGTCAGTACATTCTTTTACTCTGACTTTATGATATTGTAATGAATTATAACTTAATTTTATGTGTAATGACAAATTATCCATTTTTCCTTTATGGCTTTACATCTTTTTTAGGAAGTCCTTACCTGCACTTATATTCTCGAATAAAGAAACTGTTCTGGCTGGGCACATGGCTCACTCCTGAATCGTACACTCTGAGCGTGATGAGAGACGGTCCCAGGAGTTTGACGATGAGCTAGCAAGAAAAAGCCGTCGATCTCTGCAGAAATTGTGAGGCGGATGGTAGGCTGGTGGCGTAGTGGGTGCGGATGCCTGTAGTCGCCAGCGGTAGAGGTGAAGCAGGGAGAGTCGCTTGTGCCCAGTGGAGGTTGAGTTGCGTGCCCACAGCACATGCGTACCGTGGCGACAGAGTAGACGTGGAGAGGAGAAGAGATCACTAATTCTCTTCTGATATATATTGTCATTTTTTTTATGATTGTTTAGTTTAGATGTTAAGTCCAATAAAGAATAGTGGATGGTGTTTGTGAAAAGTATTTGGACTTGGTTATTTGTTTTGGAGTGTCTGCTTTGTTCTGTGTTGTTGTTTTTGTTTGATTGATATGAGTTATTGTTTTTTGCGCCTTTTTGTTAGCTAGGTAAGTGGTGTTGGGTTCTTTATAGTGGTTGGACTTTGGTATGTACCGTTTACTTCTGGGATCAGGGATCCTCCTGCCTCAGCCTCCATGATTAGCTGGTCAGTATACTACAGGCATGCGCCATGCCAGCTGATTTTTTATCGTATATATAAATATCTACGTTGCGTTGGATTAATTTCGTTTTATTATAGTAGAGACAGGGCTCGTCTTGCTCAGGCTGGTCGTTAACTCCTGACCTGGACAATCTGCCTGCTCCTCGGGTGTAGATTACAGGCGTGAGCCACCGCGCCCAGCCTGGCCAATTAATTTCTTTCTATTTTTAGTAGAGACGGGGTCTTGCTCTTGCTCAGGCTGGTCTCGATCTCCTTACTTTGAGTGATCCTCTAGCCTTGGCCTCCCAGAGTGCTGGGATTATAGGCATGAGCCACTACGCCAGGCCCGTTGTCTATCTTTTAAGCTACTCCACCAAAACCCAATTCCCATGTGTGCCCAGGGCTGTGTCTGGACCGTTTTCCCATTGATCACTTGTCTATATCTGGCCTGGAATCACACTGCTTTAATTACTCAAGCTTTTCAGCAAGTTTTTATATCTGCTAACGTATGTCCTATTTCTCTTTTTTTTTAAACTTTCCTCAACTATTCTTGGACATTTACTTTTTCAGAGGAACTTTAGAATTAGATAGTCATGGTCCCAAAATCCTCCCTTGGGATTTCAATTGGAATATTAATCAAATAAAGCTACCCGCTAGCACAAGGTTGATGTCTTACAAAGGGGTCTCCAGCCATGATCCTTTGCCCCCTGGCGGCTCTGCAGGCAGTTGGGTGCTGCCCCCTGAGCAAGAGGAACAGGTGGGTGCTGCTTCTGCCCTGCACCTGAGGCCTTCCCGTGCGACCACCTCCACCCCAGCCTGTGATTCCAAGGCTTCTAGAAAGGACAAATTCCTACATATCTTTGGTTTAATTTCTTTCCTTCCCCAGATGACATGTGGATTTTAACTGGAACTTTCAGAACCAAATCCAGAGTAAAAAGTATGGAAAACTAAGACCCTGCAGCAGAACCCAGGGGGAAATATAATACATTTTGTGGGAGAATATTCTTCCTGCTCCTAGCCAAATACACTCAGCACTCATATGTGACCAGCCTGGGCAACCAGGTTCCAGGGGAGACTTTTTTAAAGAAATAGCTTTATTGTTGTAGATTAACTTGAAATTCTCTCATTTTTAAGTGTACAGTTAAGTGATTTGTAGTACAGAGTTGTGCAACCATCACCATAACTCAATTTTGGAACATTCCCATCACCCCCCGAAAACTCCTCATGCCCATTCATAGTCACTCTCCAGATGCTGCTTTGTCCTTAGTGTGACAGCATCAGGAGGAATTGGGGGCAAAGTGAAGGTGTCCCCTAGAGATCCTCTGCCTGTGAGTCTAGAACGAACACCCCAACAGCATAAATAGCATGACCCCGGATGACACCCCTGTTCTGGAGAGACCCAGTCAAGCCCCCTGCGGAAGGCAGTGGCCCCGCTGAGCCCCATCCTTCCCCCTTGCAGGTGGATAAAGTTTGAAGAAAAGGTGGAGGAAGGAGGCGAGCGCTGGAGCAAGCCCCACGTGTCCACACTGTCCCTGCACAGCCTCTTCGAGCTCCGCACCTGCCTGCAGACTGGGACGGTGCTCCTGGATTTGGACAGCGGCTCCCTGCCGCAGATCATAGGTGAGGGGCGGGGGCCGCTGTGGGCATCTCTCCCGTGGTACCTGACGCCTGCCTGATTCTATGCAGCACGGCTTTGCCTCTGGCTCCCAAGGCAGCCTCAGGGCCGCTCGAAGGCTCAGTTCCATGTAGGGCTCCGACAGAGAGGAAAAAGAGATCATCCCCTGAAATGCCACCCAGCAATGCAGCGCTGGGGGAGCAGCCTCTCGGCGTGGTCAGAGACAGCTCTTGCCATGACAGCAGGTTTCTTTTCAGGGTAAAATGGATCATCACTCATCTTTAGGAAATTAGCTCTCACTTAAGTGGCATGTTGGAGGCTTGCCTTTTTGCCCCTAAACATTTTTGTGACTTTTGTTCCAGCACGTTGGATTTTGCCAGAAGTATTATGCCCAAAATACTTTTCTACAGAGAATATAGTTTACGTCTAAAACCATTTAACACATTATTTTTGTGCTTCCTGGGGCACTTTCATATGTAGTGTTTCTTTTACTTTTCATAATAACGTTGACAGAAAGAGAAGAGACTTCTGTACATGCATGCACACGCACGCACACGTGCCCACACATGCACACACAGAGACGAGCTGTGCCCTCGAACATGCGGAGACTGACGGTTGGTGGTGTGCTGGGGTTTCCACAGTTAGCGGCAAAGCGGGGACTATTTCCACATCCCAGGCCACCTCTAGGGCATGTTGGATCCCACTGATAATACCTGAAACTGATGCCCCCCACGCTGGGGCTGTCCTGTCCCACATGGACTAGGCACATTTGTTTCTCACCAGATGACGTCATTGAGAAGCAGATCGAGGACGGGCTCCTGCGGCCGGAGCTCCGGGAAAGGGTCAGCTACGTCCTCTTGAGGAGGCACCGTCACCAAACCAAGAAGCCCATCCACCGCTCCTTAGTGGACATTGGAAAGTCGGTCTCCACCACGAGTGAGTCAGGCCCAGCCACACACCCATGCTGTCCCCACCACCAGAGCAGAACAATTTCTAGGAAGAGACTTGGTTCTTTTTATTTTTTTATTTATTTATTTTTGAGAAGGAGTCTCACTCTGTTGTCCAGGCTAGAGTGAGTGCCCTGGCGTCAGCCTAGCTCACAGCAACCTCAAAATCCTGGGCTCAACCAATCCTGCCTCAGCCTCCTGAGTAGCTGGGACTACAAGCATGTGCTACCATGCCTGGCTAATTTTTTCTATATATATTAGTTGGCCAATTAATTTCTTTCTATTTATAGTAGAGACAGGGTCTCACTCTTGCTCAGGCTGGTTTCGAACTCCTGACCTTGAGCAATCCACCTGCCTCGGCCTCCCAGAGAGCTAGGATTATAGGCGTGAGCCACTGCGCCCGGCCAAGAGTTGGTTCTTAACCTGGGCTGCATAGTGCCGTCACCTGGGGGCTCGACATATGTCCCAGTGCCTGGGCCCGCCCTGGAGAGTTGGACTCAACTGGTCTGGAGCATGGCTTGGGAACAAAGAGGGAGGTTAGAAAGCTCTCCGGGAGATTCTCATGTGCACAAAGCGTTGGGAAATGCTGGTAGGGATGGTTTGTTTAAGAAAGGACCCGAAGGCCGGGCATGATGGCTCACGCCTGTAATCTCAGCACTCTGGGAGGCCGAGGTGGGAGGATTGCTCAAGATCAGGAGTCGAAACCAGCCTGAGCAAGAGCAAGATCCCGTCTCTACTAAAAATAGAAAGAAATTAATTGGCCAACTAAAAATATATATATAAAATTGGCCGGGCATGGTGGCACATGTCTGTAGTCCCAGCTACTCGGGAGGCTGAGGCAGAAGGATCGCTTGAGCCCAGGAGTTTGAGGTTGCTGTGAACCAGGCTGAGGCCACGGCACTCTATCCCAGGCAAAGAGTGAGACTCTGTCTCCAAAAAAAAAAGGAAAGAAAGAAAGGACCCAAAAGTTTGCCCCTGAACCCCTAAGAGGAGCCAAGAGCTTTGGCAGAAATGGAGCACACGTGGTGGTAGAAGGGACCGGGCTCCTCTCAAGGGTGCGGGGCGGTACTCTGCCAGCGGGTGTCGCTCTGATCAGCAGAGCCTGGGGCCACTCAGGAGAGGGGATTGTTCCACATACACATCTCTAACCTCCAGCCCTCCACTCTCGGTATCTGAGTCTAGATGTCCAGAGACACTAGCCATGTTGAACCTGTGAGATAAACGCAGTCACCAGAACAAAGCTGCTACATGGAAAACCTTGAGGAATCTCTTTAAATGAATTATTTAAAAATGGAAAGTGTTTAACATATCATAACAAAAGATATACACTCAGCACTGACATGTCCAGGGCACTGCTCTGAGCGTTCCTCCTGTTACTTCACTTCATCCCCACGATAACCCTGTGGCACAGGTGCTGTTCTTATTATCCCCATTTTACAGATAGGGCATCTGAGGCACAGAGAGGTTAAGTAACTTGCCTGAGGTCACATAGGCAGTAAGTGATGGAATCAGGGAGGAACCCAGACAGTCTACTACATATGGTACCTATTTAATCAATCTTGTTTCTATCTCACTTTCAACAGTACTGGTATTTTCTCTGTATTCTTATTCAGACCATTAACTTACTTAAAAAAAAAAAATTCTTCCTGGAAGAGGAAGAGACATGTCTTGCAGCTCAGTTTTGTTTAGTTGAAGTGACTCCACACGTGTACCATGCTAGTCCGAGAGGCCGCGCCACCCCAGCAAGGCTGCCCAAGCCGAGTCCCTTCTGTTCCTCCTTCCAGATCGCAGCCCCGCCCGGAGCCCCGCGGCCGGCCCAAGTCTCCACCACTCCACGGAGGACCTGCGGATGCGGCAAAGCGCGGATTACGGCCGTCTGTGTGAGTGCGTCCCCGCTCAGCGACAGCTTGTTCAGGCTGTGGCAGCTGTGGAGTGTCCGTATTGTCATAGGTCTGCCCAGGAGCTGCCAAGAATTCTCAGGACATGCATCAGGAGACATTTAACTTTCAGCCCAAACCCGAGTGGCTCTCAGCGCCTAATCTACTACCATAATATTCCAAATAATTCTTCTGGTGAATGAAGCTCTACATGAAGTCCAGGCATAATCAATACCCACACCCAAGTTCCAGGCATTTTTATCTTAGTCTGCACCTCCGTTTTCACCAAACTGACCATTGGCCCTGTTTATTTTTTGGTGAAAAGCTTTCCTAGAAATCAAATTAAAAACCGGCTAGGTCCTTTCCCCAGGGCAGTCAGGCAGTGTTCCCACCACTGGGGGACAGTCTCGTGCCACCACAGAGAAGAAATGCAGGCAGAGTCACAGCTGCTGTTTGCTGAGACTAGATCAGGGGGCTTGGAAGGTGAGAGGTCGCAGATGGGTTTGCAGGCGGTTCCCTGGGGATGCACAGATAGGTGAGGACGGCTTGGAAAATGAGGAGAAAAGAATCAGCAGTGTGCAAAAGTATGTTCCTGTAAATACTTTTACTAACATGCCAAAATATGACCAAGTGCAGCCCAGGGCTGTGCCCCTGTCCTGGCCTGAGGAATGACTTGGAGGGCAATGTGGCTCCTTCCCATGGCCTCAGCCCCAGCGGGCACTTGCTGTGGTCTTTTTTCTCTGTCCCAAAGACCCCGAGTCCACTTAGCCCCCCTGGCCTCGCTGTATCACATAACGGTGCCGGGAAGGAGTGGTGAGTAGGCTTTGGGCAGACCTTCCGCTCAGGTCATTGCATGTGAGCTCACCTCCGCGCTGACACTGCTCTGGGGTGGGAACCCCAACGACAGGCAAAATGGGCGAGTTCAGCTTCGAGTAAGCCGGGTGTGCACCTGCCCACAGCCTCCTTCTGCCAGCCTAAGTCCCCTGCTAGCTGGGGAAGGCTGGAGTGGAGGAGACACGGGATGAGACTTGGAGAATAACTGGGAGCTTTCCAGGACACGGTGGGTGTTGGGAAGAGGGCTTCTACATAGGGGAAATAGACAGCAGCTGGAGGGAAGGGACTGTCAAGGGAGAGAACATCAGGTCAGTCCACAGGGAATGTAGGGGGAAGGCCAAACCAAAGAGGGCCCTGTACCCCCAGCGACAGAACCCAGACTTTATTCTGAAGGCAATTGGGACCCCTGAGAAGCTTGAAGCAGGAGCAGGGCATGACCAGATTTCTGCCTGAGAAAGAATAAACTAGAAGGAGGCAAGATTGGAAGCGAGAGCCTGGGCCTGCACTCAGGAACGGAAAGGAGAGGACAGAGCTGGAGTTGATGATGGGTGGGAAGTGGGAGTCAAGGAAGAGAAGGAGGCCATGTCCTAGATTTCCCCCCGGAGGGCCAGCGGATGGGTGGGAGAGGCAGTGAGTGGAATCGGGTCCCTAAGGGGCCAGATGGGGCTGCTCCAGGGGAGATCAGACTGGAGATCCGTCCTGGGTGTCCTTGGCCACATGTGTAGTGGGAGCAACAGGAGTGGATGTGATGACCAAGGAAGGAGAGGGCAAGGCATCTGGAGGGGATGCAGGCAAAGATGAGAGTCCAAGGAGAGCCAGGCAAGAGAGGGTCCTGAGAAGGAGAACCAAGGAGACCAGTGTCTGGGAAGCAAGGAGTGGCCACAGGCCAAAAGCTGAGACATGATGGATCTGAGCATGCCCACGAGATTGGGCTGCTAGTGGGTGATGAGAGCTGACTTCCCCACCTTCACAGAGGAAGGAACTATCGAGCAGTTCATATAGCTTACTCTCACTGTTCTCCTTGCGGCGAGCCCTCTGCCAGCCAAGTCCCCAGCCCATCTTTAACAACTCTCATGGGTCATGGAGGACAGAGGTGAAACTGGTCTCTCTCGCCAACAAATTCCAAGCTCAGTGACACCTGGCACCTCATCTAATAATGCATGTCTGTCCCTCCCTGTGTCCAGGCCTGGCGCAGAGCCAGCCCCTGGAGTAGACATCCTGGTGAGGTCCAGGAAGGTGGGGCTGAGGGGTGGAGACCCGAGTGCAGTAGCTTGAGAGGTGAGGAGGAAGAAGTAGAACCTAGAGTCTAGCAACTCTTTCAAGAAAGCTGCCAGGGAAGGGAAGGAAAGTGAAAGGATGCTGGCTCAAGGAGAGTAGAGGATTAAGCGGGGAGGGGGGGGTGTCTTGCTTTGGTTATGAACATGGGGGAGGCATGAGTAGGGGCCAAGGGACAAGGACTGCAAGAGCCTGGCTTCCCATGATAGCCTTTCTTTTCCTTCTCTCCTAGGTCACGCCCAGAGCAGAAGCATGAATGACATTTCTCGAACCCCAAACACAGACCAGGTAGTAAAGCTCTTGCGCTTAGCTGTAGTGGAGAGCCAGGGCGGGAAGACGCCTTTGGTTTCAGGGGCAGGGGCGCCCCTGGGCAGAAACCCACTCCCATGAAGGAGCGGGAGTCCCCAGGAAGGGCCTGGCAGGGGTGAGGGGGGTGGGGGTGCTCTAAGCTGCCTTGGTGACTCTGTGCAGCCTGTCAGGCAGTGACTTAGTCCCAGGTACTGGCTCTGTGCCAGGTCCTGGGGAGAGCTGGGGACAGAGAACCACATTAGACAGTGTCAGCTGTCCTTGAGTTTGGGATCTGTTGGAGAGAGAAGACCAGCCACATAGCCTCACCTTCCCTGTGACCCATGAGTGCCTTTAAAGATAGGCTAGGGATTGGGGCCAGCAGAGAGAAGAGAGTAGATCGTCCCCATGCGGAGAACAGTGACAGTTATTTAATTGGACCACCCAAAATCATGTGTCTTCTTCCTCGGCTGGGACAGGAGAATATGGACTCTGGTCTCCCACTAACTTGATCTCCTGCTGAGATCAGCGTCCTACAAGCAGGCGGAGTCCAGCTCTGAGGCCCACGTCCCGGGAACTCTGACTGCGCCCCCGGGGAGGCCCAGAGGAGGCCCCTCAGTTCTAACCCTGCACACCTCAGGGCAGGAGGGTCCATGGTCACCTCGCCTGTGCCCAGGAATAGGAAGAAAGGTGACCAAGGAAACCTGAAACGTGGTGAGGAACCCTCAGGAGCGTGGGTGACCCCCAGGCCTTCTAGGCACCCCCACGTCTGGGGAAAGACAAAAGCAAGGCAGTCCCTGATGTCAGTATCCAGAGGGCCCTTTGTGGCCAAAATAATAAAACAATAACAACAATGACAAAATTGACCAGCATTTAAGGTCCACTCGCTGCATGTGCTGCGCGCGCCAGGCATTTTCTGGGCATCAGGAAAACACTAGCGCCGCTCCCAGTTTACTGACGAGAGAACTGTGAGGCTGAACGTAGTTAAACAACACGCCCAAGTCCGTGCTGCTGAAAGGTGACAGAAACCTTGATGGGACCCAGGCAGTCTGACTCTAAAGAGCCCCTAACTGGCGAGTAATTTAGGAGCCAGTCAGTATTCCACCACTTTTAGTCATGCACACAGACGGCGGAGCCGTGATAAGACAGCACACCTAGTGAAAGTCTTCCGTGATCTATTTTGATCAGTGTGTAAGTAGTAATGACAACACAAGTGTCGCCTTCCCAGGCAATGCTTCCTTGGTTCAGGGATCTGAGCACAGTCCTGGCTCAGTCTTCCCGACTGCTCAGTACTCGCAGCATCAGTGGTTCGTGCACCAGTGGGTGCTCCTTAGGTGCAAGCCCAGGGGCATGTGCCCTGCAGGCTGTCTCTTCATCCTCACTGCGTGCAAACCTAAACTCCATGCCTGCCCTCAGCCGGCAGCACCGCGGTGAGCAGAGCGGACTCAGCACCACTGCCGTGCTGCAGTGACGCCGAGGTGCAGAGCTGGACCACAGTCCTTGCGGGTTCAGGAGGTGGGGTCACCAGTGCCCTCGTTGTACAGGCCCATGTCAGGGCTGTGGCCAAGCCAGGGTGGCCAGAACATCAGCATGCTCCCTTTTCTAGGATGCCACAACCCTGGCCTCCTGACCAAACAGGTCACAACCTGCAGTGAAGGACCAGGCCCTGTTGCAATTCTTCTTCTCTCCTGAATTACAAGTGGGTTGGCTGGGCCACCCCAGAGTATTAGTGCTTTCAAAGCCGTGTTCTGCCCACCTCACCTCTCCTCCCCTCCTCTAGACACCCTCCCTGCCTGATGCCCAGGGGCCTGGAGCTGGCATGGGGATGGTGGCTGCCCTGGCACACCCAGCCCTCCACCCTGAAGAACACTGCTTATTAATCAGCTGACTATGCCTGGGACAAAGGGACTTTTTGAGTCTCGGGGACTCTGGCCTTCCCGTCAACTCCTGCCCTTGCTTTCTTCACTATATTAGGATCCTTGGGGCCGTTGATGGTTGCCCGGGTGGTGGTGGAGAGATTTTTCTTTTGTTTTGTTTTGTTTTCCCCGATTAGATTTAAAAGATTATAGGGGTGCAGCTCTCACTCACGTGCCTCCCCTCGTGCTGGTGGGCCACCCACCCCAGTATGTGTCACGGCCCCCCACGAGTTGAATCAGGAAATAGCTGTTGGCACAAAGTGGCAGGACCCATTGGCCATGCCCAAGCCCACAACCGACCCCTCCATGGGGACAAGAAGAGACACAGGAGCCCGAGTCTTGTCTGAGCCTTCAAGAAACAGACATTTCTGTGCCCGCAGGAGAGCTTCCAGCCAAGGGGGCATTAGTGGGGAAATTGTGGCATCCAGGGAGCTCATTTCAGAACTGGCTTCCCCTGCAGGCCCTGTCCCCTATGTCGGCCACCGTGGACTGCAGCCAGCCCTGCCCTGCCCCATGCTCCCTCTCCTTCCTCCACGAATCTCTCTCTGTGTCTTATCTCTCCCCTTGCGCCCAGAGGGAAAGCAATCTGAAAAACAATTCATTCTAAGATGTTAAGGACTAAGAAGAGCTTGAAAGTGCCCATCCCAGGGGTATTTTCACAGGAGGAAAAAAGTTAGGAACGCAGAGAAGAGGAATAAGTTTGGGCACAGGGTTTGTCTCCAGCACCTCTCACATCTGACCCCGCCAGCTCTGCCTATGTGACCTTTCTTCCCTGAACAGACACGAGTCAGAGGGACTGGAGAGAGGCCACCTTGATAGTCTCAGGGATTACGAGTTTCCTGGGAGGTACCTCCCGGGCTGACTTGGGAGCACGGAAGTCTCTCACAGATGTGGAGACTGGTCCCGGGGTTTCTGTGTGCCAGAAAGCTGGCAGCAAAGGGAGAGCAAAGCCCAGCCCAGCCACTCTGACTGTCAGAACGGGCTGGAAGAAGTTGTCCAAGTCAGGCCTCAAAGCAGTCTGCAGGGCCTGGGGGAGTGAGAGCAGGTGGGAGTGTCCGTGGGTATCTCATCTCCCCCTCCCCGACCAGCGGAAAAACAAATTCATGAAGAAGATCCCCAAGGACTCAGAAGCCTCCAACGTGCTGGTGGGTGAGGTGGACTTCCTGGACCAGCCGTTCATCGCGTTCGTGCGTCTCATCCAGTCAGCCATGCTGGGCGGGGTGACCGAGGTGCCCGTCCCCACCAGGTGAGAGCCATTGAAACCTACCCCACGCCACCCTCAGGAAGCCAGCTGTCCATGCCGTCAGCAGGCAGTGTCATTAGAGACACCCCTAAGCGTGGTGGTGTGCTGGGAAGGGAGCTCTTCTGACTAGGAGAGAGTTCTAGAGACTTCATTAAAAATAATCATAAGAGAGGAGACAACAGCTGGTAGAAAAGCCGTCGGGTGGGTTTGGGCAGCAAGACCAAGGTGAGGGTGCTCGTGGGGGAGCCCAGTGCGAGTAGAAGAGGAAATGCTTTGCCAAAGCAAATATGGGGCTGGAAGGGGGGAAGCGGAAAAGTTAAGAATGGATATTGCTTAGGGCCAAAGAATTCTCGTCACCTGCTTCTATTTTCCTTTTCACTTTCCTCCTCTTCCTTCTCTTCTTTGTCTCCTCCTTTATCTTCTTTGCAGATTTCTGTTCATACTACTGGGACCTTCCGGGAGAGCAAAATCCTACAATGAAATTGGCCGTGCCATCGCCACCCTCATGGTAGACGATGTAAGTGGCAACCGGAAGCATGTCCTCCTGAATGTTGTGGCTCCTGCCTCAAGCATTGCACCTTCATTCATTCCTTTGTCCTACAGGCAAATCTGAGCACCTACTGTGTACCAGGTGCTGTGCAGAATGCTGAAGCTTACGAGAGTCAGGAAATAGGCACTGTCCGCCAGGAGGACCAATCAAGTGGGAGGCACAGACCTATGATAAAATTAATCCTCTGCCAGCTGCCCCGGGAGTCAGGAGGGCTTCACAGATGAGGGACCTTTAAAGCTAAGGATGACTGGGAGGGGGTTAGGCCCAGCACAAGCCTACAGGGCAAGCATCCCAGACAAAAGAAAGGTGTCAGGCTCAGAAAAGCTGGGTGGATGTAGGCTCAGTGTAAGAGCTTCGAGGGCGGGAGGTGACACCGGAAATGTGAGCCAGAGACCCCACGGAGCCTGTAAGCAGAGCTGAGAGTTCACACTCTGTCCCCAGAGTGATGGGGATCCTAGACACTTAAACACAGGCATAAGCCCGTCATATCTGCCAGTCAGAAAGCAGCATGGTCTGGAGACAGTGTGACTGATGCAGCCAGGCCCTCCAAGGGTGAGGGGAGGTGAAAAATGGATGTGAAATATTTGAGCTCCTCAGACTGGGCTGTACAAAGGTTTTCTCATGCGCTTGCTTGTGTAGAAAACTGAAACCAGAAAGGTTAAGTGACTCAGCCAAAGTCCCAAAGCAAAACCTGCCTTCAGATCCAAGATGGGCTTCCGATCCATCGCGCCTGCTGTGTTGTGTTCTCATCCCAAACCCGAGAGCAAGTGGGCAGGGGAGCAGTGGTTCAAAGTGATTTCTTTGAAACTAGACACGAGCTCTTCAGAGAGAACTGACCCTCTTCCCCCGTCTCCCCTTGCCAGCTTTTCAGCGACGTGGCCTATAAAGCCCGCAATAGGGAAGATCTGATCGCGGGGATCGATGAGTTTCTGGATGAGGTCATCGTCCTTCCCCCTGGAGAATGGGACCCAAATATCCGAATTGAGCCCCCCAAGAAAGTGCCCTCTGCTGACAAGAGGTATGTATCTGAGCGGAGAGTTAGAGGGGGTGGAGGACAGAGGGGGCTTCAACTCTGCTGTTATCATTTTATTTCTCTTTAAAATCAACCAGAAGCTGGCCAGGCGTGGTGGCTCACGCTTGTAATCCTAGCACTCTGGGAGGCCAAGGCGGGAGGATCACTCGAGGTCAGGAGTTTGAGACCAGCCTGAGCAAGAGTGAGACCCCGTCTCTACTATAAATAGAAACAAATTAATTGGCCAACTAAAAATATATAGAAAAAATTAGCCGGGCATGGTGGCACATGCCTGTAGTCCCAGCTACTCAGGAGACTGAGACAGAAGGATCGCTGGAGCCCAGGAGATTGAGGTTGCTGTGAGCTAGGCTGACGCCATGGCACTCACTCTAGCCTGGGCAACAAAGTGAGACTCTGTCTAAAAAAAACCCCAAAAATAAAAATAAAAATAAATAAAATCAACTAGAAGCTAATATGACCACATGTGAACATTTGTAAAATCTGGGGGACCTGTGTGTGGATATTTTTCTATCACTTTCTGCATTTTACTCTGTTATCAAAGATATTTCATAATTTTTGTTGGAGAGGTGGGGGGTGTGCTGGGGGACAGTCCTGGAGGAGCTGGCCCTTCCCCAGCATTGAGGGCTCGACTCTCCCTGGTCCTCCCCCCCCTTGCAGGAAATCTGTGTTCTCGCTGGCGGAGCTGGGCCAGATGAACGGTTCTGTGGGCGGAGCTGGCGGTGCAGCTGCAGGAGGCGGCGGTGGTGGAGGTGGAGGAGGCAGCGGGGCTGGCGGCAGCGGAGCCAGTGGAGCCAGCGGTGGGGATGATGGAGAGATGCCAGCCGTGCATGAAGTCGGGGAGGAGCTTATCTGGACAGGAAGGTGCCGAGCCCAGGCCTGACAGTGACCTGGCTGTCCTTTAGGCCTTTCCCTTTCTCTCTCGCCCTCTAGGGACTGCCTGTAGCGCCTACTGCAGGCCATGGGGTCTGACCGCTGTGCTGTCTCCCTCCCAGAGCCCTTGCAGCCCCTCGGGATCACAAAAAAGGGTTACCTCAGGAGAGGGGACCCGGAGAGCAACAGCGGGGTGGAGGAAGTCAAACTCTTCTCTAGACACCCTTTGGGACCAGTTTCCTAGGGCTGCCACAACAAAGTGCCACAAACTAGGTGGCTTAAAACAGAAAGTTATTCTCCCACAGTTCTGGAGGCTTGAAGTTCCAAATCAGATGTCGGCAGGGCCATGCTCCCTCTGCGATTCTGGGGGGAACTCTTTCCTCACCTCCTCCTAACTTCTGGTGGTCACCAGCAGTTTCTGGTGTTCCTTGGCTTGCAGCTGATCACTCTCACCTCTGCCTCTGGCATCCCATGGCCTTCTCCCTGCACACCTCTGTGTGCACATAGTGTTTTCCTCCTTTTATAAGGACATCAATTATATTGGATAAGGGGCCACCCTAGTGACTTCATCTTAACTTGATTACATCTGCAAAGACCTGTATTTCCACATAAGGTCACAATCAGAAGTACCAGGGGTTAGGACTTTAATATATCTTTTTGGGAGAAGCAAATCAATTCATACCAGTACCCTCTTTTTTTTTTTCTAACCTAATATTACCTATTCAAAAACTTTTTTATTACTATTATTTTTTTAAGAAAATAAGAGAAAATTCTCCTGGCCTGTGTTTCTCTGACAGGTCAGAGTCACTGAGGTTGATCTAGATTTAGGAAGGAACATGGCTCTGCAAAGCTACATGGAAATCATAACTTTGAGAATGAAGTCATGTTTTATATGGTTCTCAACTGGAAGCAACTTTGTCCCTCCCTTACCCACTCTCCCATTCCCCAGAACAGGGGACTTGGCAACATCTAGAGACATTTTTGTTTGTCACAGCTGGAGGGGAGGTGCTACTGGCATCTAGTAGGTAGAGGCCAGGGATGCTGCTGAACATCCTGCAATGCACAGGACAGCCACCCCACAACACAGGGATTATCCGATCCAAAGCATCAGCAGTACCAAGGTTGAGAAGCCCTGCTCCATGCTGAGGAGCATGGGAAATAGCATCCCCAATAAACACTGTCCCCAAATCTAAAATTCCCCACTTTGGTTGTTCCAGAGACAAAGAAACACCTGTTATAAACTTAGAATCTGTCCTTAATGAATCTGTGTTATAATCTGGAAGGTCTCTGTCTCCTAAAGTTGGACACAGCTGTGTTTCCCAAAGGGCAGGAGCCCTGGGGATGATCAGGCATGTGAGGAAGGCCACCGTCTGTGGAACCCAGGACTTCCATTCCCATCAGACTGTCCCTGTCCCAAACAGGCTAAGTCCACCCTTCCCAGTGTGGAGGGTGCCACTACAAACTTTCAGATCCCAAATGTTCTGGTGAAGAGACCCTTGTCCCCATCCACCCCTGCTCAAGTTCCCTTCCTTGCCCCAGAGTCCACAGGTCCCTGTAAGTAGCCCCGCTCCCACCCCGGTGTTAGGGGTGAGAAAGCAGCCGCTGGGCCTGTCTCGAGCAGGTTCTTCGGTGGCCTGCGTCTGGACATCAAGAGGAAGCTGCCCTGGTTCCCAAGTGACTTCTATGATGGCTTCCACATCCAGTCCATCTCCGCCATCCTATTCATCTACCTCGGCTGTATCACCAATGCGATCACCTTTGGTGGGCTTCTGGGGGATGCCACCGACAATTATCAGGTGTGTGTGAGCTGGGGACGCTCTTGTAAAACCAGTAAAGTCTGCCGCCACCTGGTGGCAGCCGGGGACTTCTTCCTGTAATCCCCAAACCAAGGTTTCATCTACCATGCAGGTGGAGGCCGTCACTCTTGTAATCCTTTACCCTTCAGAACAAAAAGTAATAATCTGACAGTATTAAAATATCTGAAGCTAAATCAGGTTACTAAAGGCCAAGTTTAAAGCTGATATAAATAGGTCAGACTTTTAAGGGGAATCATCTACTGTGTCGTTTGGTACTTTTCCCACTGATACTTGAATGAACTTAATTGACAACGTTAATTGAATTGCTAATTGTGGCTTTTGCCCCACGCTTTTCTTTTTTTTCAACCAACCTTGAATTCTTAGTTTGGAGTTAAGACATTTTTGGAAGGCTAGTAAGCTGCTACCATGACAACTACAGGCCTCCCTGGGAGACATCAGCTCAGCAGAGACACCAGCCCGCCCGACTCCTAGGCAAGGGTCTTCTCCGAGGACAGCCTGCAGGGTAGAACCACAGGAAAACTTAGTGTACCAAGGAAAAGGCCCATTTTCCTAGATAAACTGAGTTGGATGCCTATTGCCAGCCACACCTCTCTCCTGAGCTTGAAGTTCAATGTCCAGTTGCCTCCTGGGCACGTTCACATGGCTGCTCCTCAGGAGCCCCCAGCTCGCAAGGTGACATTGCATCCATCATCCCCCCTCCTAACCTACTGCTCCCAGGTCTCCCCCAGCATAACACCTGACGCCGTGGTTCTCCCACCTGTCCCCATCAGAAAGCAGGCCTCATCCCTGACTCGCCAATCCCCTTCCCCACTGTCCTCCTGCCTTGGCTCTCCTTGCCTCTCCCTGCAGCCCCACCCTACTCACCCACTCCACATTCCCTTTTCCATCAGTCCTGATCGTCTTGCAGTTCTTCAAAGACACTATCTTCCAGCTCCAGCCTTTGTACACACTGTCCCTCTGCCTAGGACACCCTTTCCCCTCACTCCACTTAACCCTGTTCTTCTACCCAATTCCCTGCTCATTGTTTGGGTCTCTGCTTCCACATATGGACTTTGAGGAAGGCCTTCCTGACCGCCCCTCACTCCTACTACGTGCTCCTGGCACCCTCAACCGACCCAGCCATCTCACTCCTTGGCAGTGGCTCTCAACCAGGGGTAGTTTGGACCCCAGGGGACAAATGACAATATCTAGAGATAGTTTTCATTGTTGTACCTGGAAGAGGGGCTCCTATCACACATCTAATGGGCAGAGGCTGGGGATGCTGCTAAACATCCTGCAGCGCACGGGACAAACCCCGCAGCAAAGCATTACCCAGCCCGGTGTCCACAGCGCGGAGGCTGAGAAACCTGCTGCACAGAAATCGCCTGGGTGCCTATCTGTATCTCCCACTAGACTGAAGATGTGTCATCTTGTTCACTGATGGGTCCCCAAGACCTAGCACAATGACTGGTACATAGCAGGGACTTAATAGACAGTCAGTGAGTGAATGGATGATCTGACCTCCAAAAGGACCAAATAGATGTTTGAATGAGGAATTAGATGGATGAATGGGCTAGGCTACTCTGGGAGTAGAATGGGCACAGGGACAAGCATATCCACTGCTTTCTAGGCTCTAGAGTGCCAAAAAAGTCATATGGGACCTTTATCCCAATGGGATTAGGGGGGCAACACTGGCCATGGTGGCAAGTTGTGGCATAGGAGACGGGGAGCAGTGGTGGGGAGAAAAGGGCCCAGAAAAAAGGACAAGGTCTGGAGCCTGAGCCCTGGGAAGGGTGGCTGGGTCGCAGCCCCTGCTCCTGACTGCACTGAGCCTATGCTCCTCATGTCCCCAAGGGAGTGATGGAGAGCTTCCTGGGCACTGCCATGGCCGGCTCCTTGTTCTGCCTCTTCTCGGGACAGCCTCTCATCATCCTCAGCAGCACGGGGCCCATCCTCATCTTCGAGAAGCTCCTCTATGACTTCAGCAAGTAGGTGCCTCTTGGTGGCTCCAGGTGCCTGCTCTCAAGCTTGGGGCAGTGTGGCAAGGCCAGGGCGGAGGAACAGACCCAAAGGGGAAGCTGGGGCAAGGTGCCAAAGCCACCCTTAACTGCGGGGAGGGCTGCCAGGTGGTCCCTCCTGGCTCCTGCCAGTCCTGCCTTTGAGCCATCTTGGTGCATATTAGCACAGCCCACAGCGACCAGCTGAGACAAGAGGAGGCGATTCACCTCACTCTGCTCAGGAGCAGTTGGGACTAGAAGGTCAATGTAGTGTATGAGAAGTCTTGGGCTAGATGTCAGAGGCTGTGCCCGGACCCAGGCAGTTCCTGTCTCCACTCCCGGCCCAGTTGCCTCATCTACAACATGGGGGCTGGGCTGTCACTTCTAAGGCCTGCTCCAGCCCGGTTACTCCGAAATTCCCTGGGTTTTTTTTTTGTTTTTTTGGGGGGTTTTGGGGGGATTTTTTTTTTTTTTTTTTTGAGACAGAGTCTCACTTTGTTGCCCAGGCTAGAGTGAGTGCCATGGCGTCAGCCTGGCTCACAGCAACCTCAATCTCTGGGGCTCAGCGATCCTACTGCCTCAGGCTCCCCAGTAGCTGGGACTACAGGCATACACCACCATGCCCGGCTAATTTTTTGTATATATATTTTTAGTTGGTCAATTAATTTATTTCTATTTTTGGTAGAGACGGGGTCTCGCTCAGGCTGGTTTCGAACTCCTGACCTTGAGCAATCCGCCCACCTCGGCCTCCCAGAGTGCTAGGATTACAGGCGTGAGCCACCGCGCCGGCCAATTCCCTGTTTTTCACTTACTCTGGATGCGCCTTACCAACCGAGTGAGCACTTAGATGTCTTAGTGCTTCCTGTGTTTTCCTGCCACCCCCGTGGGATCTCAAGGATCAGACAACTCCACCCAGGAATTGTCTCTGTCCCCAGTCCTCTAACAGTCCCTAGGGGGCATCTGTGCCATGCATGGGCTGGAGGCCCCTCCCCTTCCCTCTGCCTTCCAGAGGCAACGGCCTGGACTACATGGAGTTCCGCCTCTGGATTGGCCTCCACTCGGCCGTCCAGTGCCTTATCCTGGTGGCCACGGACGCCAGCTTTATCATCAAATACATCACCCGCTTCACCGAGGAGGGCTTCTCCACCCTCATCAGCTTCATCTTCATCTACGATGCCATCAAGAAGATGATCGGTGCCTTCAGGTACTACCCCATCAACATGGACTTCAAGCCTGACTCCATCACCACCTACAAATGCGAGTGCGTCGCCCCTGACACAGGTGACCGGTAACCCCAGACGTGCCTTGGACCCTCCCCCAGCTGCTCACGCCCGCACCCCCGCCACAGCTGTCTACACAACTGCAGGAGACTGAGCCCGTGTGGGAGGGGCTGTCCAGCCCAGGGTTTATTGTTCCAAGGGAGCAAAGGCAGGGTCTTGAACCCAGTTTGCAGAAGGAAACTCAGGGGACAGTAGGTCTAATAGGAGTCACACTACCAGCATCCAGAGTTATAACCAGGAGGGCATGGGGATACCCAAGGAAGGAGTGAGGCACGCTTTGCCTCACTGTGGGGTGGGGTGGAGGCCACATCCGCCGGGAGTGCTGCCCCGGCCAGAGGTAGACCTATGGTGTGTGAAGTCCCCCAGCTCCACAGTGCGTGCTAGGATGAGCTCTGCCCAACCCTGTGCCGCCAGTGGGGTCACATACCTTGTAAGGTGCGACCACACTAGATGGATGACCATCACTACAACTGGGAACACGTCCAGGGTGGAGGATCTACCAACAAGGCCATTTGAGGAATGGCTGGAGAACCTGGGGTTACTCAGCCTCTTAGGGATATGAGACAGGGACTGTCATGTCACAGAGAGGCTGTGTTCACCCTTTGGAAACACAGATGTAGAATAGAAAGGGGAACGAGGAGCAGAAGCTCCAGGGAGCCAGATGCTGACTGAATTTAGGGGAGAACTTACAATGGTGGGAGTCACCACCACGGGTGGTCTTGGCACCCTTGGCTAGTAACAAGTTACTTGGTCACTCTCTGGTTGTCCATCTGCCAACGATGTTGTAAAAGGGAGCCCCACGCTGGGTGGGAGGCTGAATCAGCCAACTGGTAACCTGATAACAGTGCCATTCCTGTGGAGTTACTTTCTGGCCAAAAAACTATCATCTGTAAAGTTAAGGCTTCCCGCAGAGCCTTAGCTCCTGGCCTCTTTCACAGCCATGATCCTACCCCTAAGAGCCTTCTGTGGGCTCTGCCAGGGTGCTACAGAGCAGGAGCAGGAGCTCCATCCACACATTTCCAAGCACCACCAGGCTGGACTCACAGAGAGCAAACTGAGGTCCAGAGACCACCCAAGGTCACATGGAGCCTCAGTTTCCCTCGCCATAAAAGAGGGTTAGCAGTGCTGGTCGTGCCAGTCCCATCGGACCCTTGTGAGGTTTTCAAATATATATCCAGGTCGAGTTGGAGGAAATAAGTAGATATTGGGTTGCTCAGCCCCTTAATACATTATTATGGATAAAAAATTCATCATAAGTCTATCTAAATACTTGGGGCACAATTACTGTGTGCCCTGATTTAGACGAGGCCTTGCGGAAGATAAAGATGCCCTGTCTTCAAGGAGTTGAGGTTTCATTATATCCCCTCTCCCTCTGTCACTGCACTGATTTTGTAAAGAAATCTAGACTTGATTTTTTTTCTTTCATTTTTTTTTCCATCATTAATTTCAAGTTATTCCATTAAAATCCAATGACACGTCAAGCATCCCTTTGTCCTGAGCTGGGGCAAGTTGCTCAGAACATTGAGCAGATCTGACCTGCCAGCCTTTTCTTCTGCCCTGGAGCAAATCCTGCTCTCATGGGCCAAGGCCCATCAGAGCACTCCCTTTTGTTGCTTGTGCCTGCCAGACTGCGGATTCACTGAACATGAAATTTTCACAAACATGGCTTTTAGAAGCACATGTCCTTGATCTCTTTTAGAAACAGTCCAAATTCTGGGGTCATATGAGGAGGTTTGGCTATTCTAAGAATGATCTATCCATAGGAAAAACAAAACCTAGGGGTGCTCTAGGAACGGGATGTAGGAGCATAGAAAGTAGGGCTTGAGGGGCATAATAAAGCCACTTGTTCCCAAACAGCTTCCCCTCTGGCTTTGCCCAAGTGTCTGATGTCACCTCATTCTTTTGGGGCATGCTATTGAAATGGTTCTCAAAGTATAGCCCCCAGACCAGCAGCATCTGGGAACTTGTTAGAAATGCAAATTCTTGGGCCCTACCCCAGACCTTCAGAACCAGAAACTCTGGGGTAGGATCCAACCATATGTATATTCACAAGCCTTTCAAGTGATTCTGATGCACTCCTGAGTTTGAGAACCACTGCTCTACTGAACTGCTAATTACTAGTCCTGAGCCATCATTAGCAACTAACCCCAGTAAGATTAGATTTTCAATTTCTTCACAGAGAATAAAGGAACTGAAACCAGGACAAGTTAGTTTTTACTAGGAGAATATGGAAAGTTCTAGACATTTAGGATACTGGGGAGAGGGAGTCTGTGGGGGGATTTCTTTCCCAGTCTATGGGCCACCTGCTTACTGATTGTTCCTACTCCTACTTCCATGCAAAGTCAGGTCTCACTATGGGATACGATCCCTCTCTCAGTCTTCACCAGAAAAGCTTAGTTGGGGGCACTCTCTTTTATATTTAATTCTGTTTCCATTGTAACTGATTTGTATTCTATTTATGAATGCTGCACACACTGATTTGGCTGCTTTCAACCCCAAGTGAGTACCACTTTGTAAACACTAGAATTTTAAAATATTTGATGCTTGGAACCTTTCTGGAATTTTCCATGTTATATTTCTTCCATCTTCATATCAAGTAGCTTTCAGATAAACCTTACAAAGTTCTCAGTATAAAAGAATTGATAACCCTAAACAGAAAACACGAAAGGAATGTCTGGTCCAATGACAATGTTGGGTAACATCTGAACTCCCCGAGGCCCAAGCAGGGATTCTCTGGCATTTGAGGGGTGGCCATGCGTCAGCCTCCTTGCCCAGCTCCTGTGTCTCCATGGTTAATTGAACATCATGTTCTTGTGGTCAGTGATGTGAGGAAAGGCAACAGATGTCCTTGATTTCTAATAAGTGAAGCCATCTCCAAGACAATCCCAACAAACCTCTGTTTGTAGCAATTCTAGAAATATTCTGCTTTAGCCACCCAGCCACAGATGGCCCAAAAGTGAGCAACGTAGAGCGCCCTGCGATCACGTCAGCCCTGTAGATGGCTTGTTAGAGATTGGGAGAAGCCCCTAGATTAACCTCTTCTTCGTCCTGGGTTTCTAGCCAAACTGTGGACGGCAGGCAGGAGCCACATAGGGCCTGCATTGCATTTCAGACTTGTCGCTGACAAACTGGCCGGTGGGCCTCCTCCCTCTCTCCCCAGATCTGCTGCAGAGGAGCTGCGCAGTCTGCCCTCGCTGGGAGGAGGAAGGGGAGGAGGACCTGGCCTTTGCCTCCACCTTGCAGCTCAGGAGGAAGAGAGGGCAGCCGGCCCCCGGAGCCTGGCTCCTCCTGAGTGGCCGCACCCCTGGGGGCCTGGCCCCCTGAAGGAGGAAGGCAAGACAGAGAGCAGAAGGGTCCACATGGAAATGAGAAGAGGGTGACTGTGGCCCCTCTCAGCTCTCCTTGCGGCCCCTGAATGCTCCACTCAGAGTTAGGGACACTGAGGCCAGGGAAGGGAAGTGCCTGGCACGGGATGCCCAGTGAACAGCTCAGAGCAGCACCTTTGGGCTCCTGATTCTCCTTTGGGTCCTGAACCCAGGTTTAATTAGAGAAGATGATTTCAAAGCCAACAAGTTCTCACTGGCCCAGTTGACCTTAACAAAGCACTTATGAAGAGGGGCGGGAGGGAAGGGCAGTATCTGTGAAAGAGAATAGCATGGGGAAGCTGTGAAGTTTGTAGGATCTGCACCAGCCTGCCTGGGCTAGGATCATGGCTCCAAGTATGAGCTGTGTGACCTTGGGCAAGTTACTTAACCTCTCTGGGCCTCAGTTACCTCATCTGTACAATGGGGATACTTCACGGGGCTCTGGGAACAAATGAATATGTGTAAGGGTTTGGCATAGTGCATGGCACAGAGTAAGTTCTTTGGAAATGTTTTTTAAGTCTGACAGCCCAGAACGGGCCCAGTGGCCAATAGAGATTCACAAGGCACATTATTAACTCCCTTGTCTTAGCACTTTGTCTTAGGATCAGATTCATCATTTCAGATTTTCAAACCCATGTTCATTAGCAGGCAGGGGCTCTCCTAGCGTGGCCCAGCTGGTCGGTCAGAGCTGTGGCCAGGGCTGTGTGGCCTGGGGCAGAGTGAGGAGAGTGATGACGGAAGCCAACCTTGGCTCTAAGGAACTGGGGGAGATGGGAGGAGGGCCCGGGGAGACGCAGGCCCCCGGCCCAGCAACAGCTGACCCCGCCCTCTCGTCTGCAGCGAATACAACCGTGTTCAATGCTTCAGCCCCGCTGGCACCAAACACCAATGCTTCTCTGGTAAGTCCTTGCCTCTCGGGCCAGACATCCAAGTGCTTTTGTTTGTGGAGGGAGTGAGAAAAGAGTTGGGAGACTGAGACCGACTTGTGGCCACCGAGACTCACGGGGCAGCTCCAGCTGCACATCAGGGTCACCTGCAGAGCTTTCTAAATGCATGCTCTTAGGTATATCCTGGAAGTATGCCTCATCTGTTAAACCCACGTGTATAAATATGACACACACACACACACACACACACACACACACACACACACAAAGGGGAGGTAGAGGTGAGGAATGATTTTGCGTAGGGCTGTGCAAACAAAGCTATGAGCAGAGCTTCCTGTTCATCTTCCTACCTTCGTCCTTCCTTTTCTATCTGGAGCTCCAAATTCCCACCCAGCAGTGCCACTCCCCAGGCATAGAAGGTCTATCAGTCCTCCCCCACTCAAGGATCTGACCTGTCTTTCACACACCTTAGTTCCTGTCTCTAGGGACTAAGAACTGGACTTAGACCCTGGGACTAAGGGCCCCAGGTCTGGTCTGCCTTTCCTGATATTGATGACAGTGGACTTCAGGAGCCAATGTCCCAGCCTAAGTGGCTTAACAATGGGAAGTTCAAATCCAGGTGAAAAGCAGCACCTGGCAGGAGGAGGTCTGTGGGTGTTTAGCATCCCTGAAGTTGCTTCTTAAGTTACCCACACACACGCAGTTGACTGCTCTGCCTACATAGATCCCAGTTGTCAATTTAACCTAAGATTTTTCAAATATCAGATTTTGGGGGAGAAAGAACTAAATGATTCAGTGCCTCTTTCAGAATTCCTAGTACGTGCAAGGTGCTGTGTGCACTGAGAACTGAAAAAGGCATCTAAGAACCCACGTGGCCCTATCGTCACACTTGCCTTTCATGTGCTTGTGGAGAGGAACTGCAAGGTCATGGGGCAGCACAGCAGAGCGCACCGTGCATCAAACAGGCCAGATGCGTGCTTCAACCTTGAAGGCAGAAAACAGGCAAGCAGAGAGGCCAGGAAAAGCCTCCCAGAAAAAGTGGAATGCCAGCTGCTCTTCATGGCTGGAAAAAAAGTTGGTTAGGCAGAGAAAAGCACATTCCAGACTCAGGGAGCAGCACAGACAGAGGGCAAAAGAGGAAAAGCTCGAAATCTGTGCAGAGGATAGGGGTGGACTAGGCTGGCTAAAACAGAATGAGGGTGGGGATTGAACAGGGAAATGACAAGAGACATGCTAGGAAGGAGGGTGGGGCCAGACAGTGGGGGCAGTAGAGGAATGCTGCCCTGCAGGGGGCATTTTAAATTGCTCTGGTGATTGAGGGGTGTAGCTGGCATGCAGAAGATGGGCCCCAGAATGCCAGACAGCTCTGTGCAGGCTGCTTGCACACCGTGAAGAATGGTTTCTAACTTCCTAACTTGTTGTAGCAGTTATCTATTGCTGCATAACAAACCACCCTCGGCTGGACAAGGCAGCTCACACCTGTAATCCTAGCACTCTGGGAGGCCGAGGCAGGAGTTTGAGACCAGCCTGAGCAAGAGCAAGACCCCCATCTCTACTAAAAATATTTTTTTAAAAAATTAGCCAGTTATGGTGACACTCGCCTATAGTCCTAGCTACTCAGGAGGCTAAGACAAGAGGATTGCTTGAGCCCAGGAGTTTGAGGTTGCTGTGAGCTAGGCTGATGCCACACACTCTAGCCAGGGCAACAGAGTGAGACTCTGTCTCAAAAAAAAAAAAAAAAAAAAATCGGCCAGGGGCGGTGGCTCACGCTTGTAATCCTAGCACTCTGGGAGGCCGAGGCGGGTGGATTGTTCGAGGGCAGGAGTTCAAAACCAGCCTCAGCAAGAGCGAGACCCCATCTCTACTATAAAAAATAGAAATTAATTGGCCAACTAATACATATAGAAAAAAAATTAGCCGGGCATGGTGGCGCATGCCTGTAATCCCAGCTACTGGGGAGCCTGAGGCAGGAGGATCGCTTGAGCCCAGGAGTTTGAGGTAGCTGTGAGCTAGGCTGATGCCATGGCACTCACTCTAGCCTGGGCAACAAAGTGAGACTCTGTCTCAAAAAAAAAAAAAAAAAAAAAAAAAAAACCTACCCTCAACTGTAGTGGATTAAGGCAGCAGCAATTATAATGCTCCTAATTCTGTAGGTTGCTGGCTGTTCTGCTGGTCTAGCCTGGACTCAGCTCGTGGCTATATTCAGCTGGCAGGTCTGCTGGGGGCTGGGACGGCTCAGCCTGCCTCTTCCCATGGTTTTTTCCATCCTGAGCTTTTTCATAGCAGAGTGGTCTCAGGTTTCCAAGAGGATAAGCGCAGAAGCTCTTGAGGCCAAGCCCCCAGAACCGGCTTGATGTCACTTACTCCCCTCCCTGTTGGGCTAGGGAGATCAAGGACCAGCCCAGATTCAAGAGGTGGAAAGGTGACTTCACCTTTGAAGGGAGGACTGTCAGTGTCACCTTCTAAGGGAGCATGGACACAGGGAAGCCATGATTCACCGGGGACCATTATTATAACAAACTACCACACTTCTCTCAATCCAAACATTCTTTAGAGCTAGTTGCAAGCATCTCATCGCATAGCTATTCTTAAGTATTTGCACATTAATTTTTATATATATATATCAAATTTTATTATAAATTACTCTCCTTTTCTTCCTCCTTTCATTAGTCTTGGGAATATATATGTGTGTATATATATATATATATACATATATATAATTTCTAGATAAAATTTCACTGCTGTGCATGCCCTGGACTTTAGGCATCTGGGACACCCAGGGGAGAAGTGGCTGAAATGGCCCAAGAGGGGACTGACAGGGTGTGAGCCATAGCATGTGAAAGGGTGTGACAGAGGGGAAGGAAGCGGGAAAATAAGTGTGGGACACTGTGGGAAGGAGACACCGACAGGACCTGTCATTGACTGACGGGAGCCAGGCCTGCCGAGAGAGCATCCCCCCTCACCTGTCCTCCTTGCTAGCAAAGCAGTGCTCCCTAGAACAGAACAAAGAAACTCGCGTCAGCTCCTCATCCTCCCAGGGAGCTGCCAGCTTGTCATTGACCCAGCCTATCCTTAGGAGCATCACTCTGCTGCCACGGGCACCATCGTGGACAGGAGGGCTGTGGCCTCTCGGAGGGCAGCAGGGAGTGTGGCTACCTGGGGACTGCAGGGGGAGGACACAGCTGACCCACCAGGAAGGCCCTGACTCTTTCTCTCCTGTGCTTGGTCTCCTAGTACAACCCCCTTAACCTCACAGCGCTGGACTGGTCCCTGCTGAGCAAGAAGGAGTGTCTGAGCTACGGCGGGCGTCTGCTCGGGAGTTCCTGCCAGTTCATCCCAGACCTGGCGCTCATGTCCTTCATCCTTTTCTTCGGGACATACTCCATGACCCTGACCCTGAAGAAGTTCAAATTCAGCCGCTATTTTCCTACCAAGGTAAGCTCCCCCTGCAGCTAGGAGGGGACTTACAGTCAGGCTACTGTGGAGCAAGGCCCTGCCAAGCCTCCCGGAGAGGGTTCCGGTCCACCAACAGGACGGATTGCACGTGGGCCCAGTGGGGTTTTTCAAGTTAAGTCAGAGAGAACGGGGCTCCCTTGTTGGCCAGACCCCATGACAGCACTTGGTATTGTCGGGCTTTTTTCTTTAGCATTTCTGTATAGTAGGATCTCCTTGTACTTTTTAAATTTTTCATTTCCCTGATGACTAATGAAGTTGAAAACCTTATTATGTGTTTATTGGCCATATGGCCATTGAACTTTCTTCTTGGAATTGTCTGTTGAAATCTCTTGTACATTTTCTATTGAGTTGTTTGTCTTTCTGATTTGTAAGAGTTCTCTATATATTCTGGATAGAAACCCTTTTGTGAGCATACATTACAAATACCTTATCCCACACTGTGGCTTTTTTACATAATGGTATCTTTTGATTAACAGACATCTTAGTTTTGCTGTAATCAAATATATCAAAATTTGATTTTTGAATTTGAATTTGAAAATATTCTATTATGTTATCTTCTGAAAGCTTCATTATTTTTCATGTTATATCTATAATCCATCAGAATTGGTTTTGATATATAATACGAGATAGTGTTTCATTGTGTTTTCCTATAAATAACCAATTGTTCCAGTACCTTTTTTAAGAAACCATCCTTTCTCCACTGCTTTGCAACACTTCCTTTGCCATGTATCAAATGTTCCTCTATGACAGGGTCTGCTTCTGGATTCTTTGTTCTGTTTCACTGATTTATTTGTACATCAGTATCATAGTCTTTGTTTCATAGCTTATAATAACTCTTTATATCTTTTAGATATATCTTTTAGATATCTTTAAACTCTCCCTCTTTGTCCTTTTTTAATATTAGTTTGGCCCTTTATATTTCCACGTGCATTTTAGAATCACTTTAAATTTCACCCAAATACAAGCTTGTTGGAATCTTGATAGGATTATCATGATTCTGTGTGTCAATTTGGGAAGACTTGATATCTTTCAAATTTTAAGTCTTCTGATTCATGAACATGGTATACTTCATTTATTTTGGTCTTCTTTCTCTCTATAATGTTTTATAGGTTTTGGTCATGAGGTCTTGAGCAATTTTTGTTAGATTTATTCCTAGGTACTTGATTTTTTTATACTATTATAAATGCTAACTGCTATTTTTATTTTCTACCTGTTTGTGGCTGGAGTAAAATGTTTATTAATCAAAATAGCACTTGTGGTGGGAGTGATGGCTCATGCTTATAATCCCAACACTTTGGGAAGACAAGGCAGGAGGATCCCTTGAGGCCAGGATTTCAAGATTAGCCTGGGTAATGTAACAAGACCCCCAACTCTAAAAAAAATTAAAAAATTAACCAGACATAGTGGCATGTGCCTATAATCCCAGCTACTTGAAGGCTGAGGCAGGAGGATGACTTGATCCCAGGAGTTTAGGCTGCATTGAGCTATGATGATGCCACTACACTCCAGCCTAGGTGACGGAGCAAAACTCTTTCTAAAAAGAAAAAAGTTGCTTCTTTGAAAAGATCTAAAAAAGTTTGCAGGGTAGACATTGGGGGACCCTCTGCCCTGAGACTTCTGGATGCTGAGTTGGGGGGGGGCAGTCAGAGGGCACTGATTCAGAAAGGACAGGGAGGTCAGGTTCAGAACCTGGCCTAGGAAGGGCCTCCTGATAACACAGGAACAAGAGGCTGGGGACTCTTGATGGACAGAGGTCTAAGAGTAGCCTGGGGTCCCCAGTAGAATTGGGGGGCCTTCCCAAGCCCAGGTGGGGTGCAACAACCTGTCACAAGGTTTTAGGAGCTAGAGTTTCCTTCAGAGCTCAGCCCTTGTCCTCCCTGCACCTGCTGGTGACACAGTTCAGACTGTCACACCAGAACTGATCTTCATCACTGGCTGCCATGGCCACATGGTCCATAACAACTCCCACTTTGACTACCACATGCTCACACCTTTGAGAGAGGTAATATCATCATCTCCATCTTACAAAGGAGGAAACTGAGGCTCAGAGACATGACCTGCTTCCCTAAGGTCACACAAGCTAGCAAGCGGCAGAGCCAGGACTTGAGCCTAGCTCTGCTGACTTCAGAGGCCACACTTCAACCATTCTCCTCCTCACTGCCTGCAACTGGGTCTGCTTGGAGCTGGGCGGGTGCATTGCTCACTTGCTCGTCTCCTGTCTGCAGGTCCGGGCCCTGGTGGCTGACTTTTCCATTGTTTTCTCCATCTTGCTGTTCTGTGGGATCGATGCCTGTTTCGGCCTGGAAACGCCCAAGCTGCACGTTCCCAATGTCATCAAGGTTTGCCCCTCACCCTGCTCTGGGCACCCACTCTTCCCGCCCACCAGCTGCATCCTCTTCCCTCTGCACTCATCACAGTTTCTTCTTGTCTCAGCCCACAGCCTCCCGGGCACTAAGTCCTTTGATATGGTGGGTGGGGACATATTCACAATGAAATCCTGCTCTGTAGCCACAGGGTGGGGAAGTTGCTGGAATCCACCCTCCAGCCCACCTGAAGCCTCTTGAGGGTCTCCAATTTCTTGGCAGTCTACAAGCAGGGTAAATGGGGATCTGCTGAAAAAAAAAAAAACGATAACTGATTCTCAAAGTCTGGTCCCCAGCCCAGTATCACATCCTCACCCAGGAACTAGTTAGAAATGCAAATTCTCAGCCCACCTCAAAACTATGGAATCAGAAAGGCTGGGGCGGGGCCCAGTAATCTGCATTTTAACAAGTCCCCCAGGTGATCTTGGGACAGGCTTAAGTTTGGGAATCAGGGCTTCAGAAACTACCCACTAGTGCAAAGTCGGTGCCCTTGGCTTATAGCTAAACTGGAGCCCTGATCCCTCTCAAGAGCACCAACCGACCCACCAGGGCAGGGAGTCCAGATTTAAGAATTTACCCTTTCTGTCTCTGAGGTCTTGACCTTCGAGATATTATTTCAGGGCTCTTCTGAGTAGCTTGAACACATCCCATGCAACTCATATTGGCCTTGAAATTAAAGTACCTCTTTCTCTTACATAAGGCAAAAGATAAACTTCAGCCTGGCTTCTGCACAGATAATCCCTAATTTTCAACATGCAGGTCTGAACTGATGGTCAATGTTTTACAATCTATCATGAGCCCCAGACAGGTGACTCAGAAGAGGCAGAGGTGGCTGGCACCAGGCCCATCAAATTCTTTATTCTTGCTGGTTGGGCCTTATTTCTGCTTTTTAGTACCTTGCAATTAGCGAGTGCACACTCTCTGCTGGCCACGCCTCCCCGTTTCCCAACCAATCCCAGAACTGTTGCCGCAAATTATCTCCTTAGTTCCTCAGTCCCAGTCCCCAGCTGTGTTCACACTCCTTCCCACATCTGTCTGCTTCCACAGTCTCTTTATTCTAGAGTTGTGGGTGCCTCATGTGTTTAAGGGAAAAGATTGCACTTGACAAGCAGCACAGATGGGAGAGAGGGGGAGGGAGAGTGGCCGGGCAGCAGGTGCCCTGGGACCAGGGAGAGAGGACAGGACTCTCCCTTTGCTCCTGCTCAGCCCACACGGCCTGACCGAGGCTGGTTCGTGGCCCCCTTTGGGAAGAACCCATGGTGGGTGTACCCTGCCAGCATCCTGCCCGCCCTGCTAGTGACCATCCTGATCTTCATGGACCAGCAGATCACAGCCGTCATTGTCAACCGGAAGGAGAACAAGCTGAAGGTAAGACTGGCGCTGGGAGCAGGGGCATAGCTCTGTCTTCTCACAAAGTGGAAGGAACGAAGGAGGGAGATGATGCTTCTTTCAATGCTTTGGGCCAGGAAAATATGACAGCAGAAGACTGGAGTTCCCACTTGGTGTGCTGGGGGCGGGGGGGGCGTGGGGGCAATGTGACCTCCAGATGTGGGTAGGGCCAGCAGGGCTGGGTGACTTAGTCTAAGGACCAGGACCAAGCTAGGCTGGGTCACTAGGCACAGGCCCCTGCCCCTTCCAAAGTGATCCTACAGCTCTGCACCTCCAGAAATGAACTTGGGAATCTGAGTAGATGGTGAACTTCCTTAGCCTTTCTGGTTGTTACAACTCCCCCCTGCCTCTGGTCCGAGGAAACTCAGGAAACTCAGACTGCCCTGCCTCCCATCCCAGTCGGGACCACTCTAGGCTTGGCCTCAGGCCTGCCCTAGCTGGGCCTCATTCAGGAACCGAAGAGATACTGTGGCCACGAGGTGGGGGCCCTTCTCCCCAGGGACCCAACCCCCTCCCAGCCTGAACACCCCTCCCCTTCATTACGTGTGTCCCCACCTTGCTCACCCCCCCCCAGATAGGGTAGTGGCCACCTCAGAGTCCCCTCCAGAAGGCCAGGGGAACCGAGGAACCACGCTCCACAGAGAGGCTGCTTCAGGGAGAAACAAGCTCCCCAGAAGCACCCCCTTCCCGCCACCCCCACAGAAGGCCGCTGGCTACCACCTGGACCTGTTCTGGGTGGGCGTCCTCATGGCCCTGTGCTCCTTCATGGGGCTCCCCTGGTACGTGGCTGCCACGGTCATCTCCATCGCCCACATCGACAGCCTCAAGATGGAGACAGAGACCAGCGCCCCGGGGGAGCAGCCCCAGTTCCTGGGGGTCAGGTAGGAGGCATGGGGGCTGGGGTCCCCTGAGGGGGCATGGCCAGATGGGGAGGGGAAGCACCTTTTCTGACCTTCGAAGTGGTTGGGTGACAGGGGCCCGGCTCTGACAGCCGAGGAAGCGCAGGGCTGGGAGTGAGATCCCTGAAGGGAAGGAAGGAGAGGGATGAAACCTCAGGTTAAATGGTCCTTTCAGTAGACTCCCAGAAGTACACACCCCATCCATACACATGCGCGCACGTGAGCACCAGACTCTCACCTGTATAGGCCACTCCAGGTCCCTGCAGGGACTCTTGCTGTCCTGCTTTGGTCTCTCCTTAGGACCCTCCGGGCCCTGGCCCCTGGCAGCCCAAGGCCCTCCTGCAGGTTCAGAGCCCGCTCAATCTCCAGTCCTCCAGAAAGCGTCCCGGGACCACCCCCACTCCTCTCATGCCCCATGGCAGGAAGAGAAGCTCACCTTCCGCCCCTTAGGGCCCGGGGGTGAGACCTCCCCAGACCCTGGCATTCTCCTAAATGGCTGTCCTAAGAGCTTCTCCCCACTGCCTCGGAATATCTGGGCCGCTCAGCCTGCCAGAGTGAGGCTTCTCTGCCCGACTGTAGGGCTCAGGGGTGGTCAGGGCATGGTCCCCTCCCAGACCCCTGAGCCCCAGTGGCTGGGCCTGAGCAATCTGCCCCCAAGCTCGGGGCTCCAGCCTGAGTTATGACTGGACCTGGGCACAAACCCACCTGCCCTCCAGTCCCTGACCCCTGCTCTGCTAGCAGCCAGCCCCTTCTCCCATTAGCTGTGCCCCATAAAAGTGAGATCCTACATCAAATGTCAGGGTAATAGCACTTTATATCACATTTATCCTCACAACAACCTCCTGAGGCAGGTGCCATTATTGTCTCTGTCCACTGAGGCTTAAAATCATCAGAGCCTTACCTGCTACCACACAACCAGCAAGTGGCAGAGCCAGGACTCAACCCAATCCAGTCTGGCCTGAGCTTCCAGACTGAACAGCAACTACACTGAGCAGCCTCCCCGGTGCCCTTCCCACCGGCGAGGGCTCCTGTCTTCTGTGTGGGGTCAGCCAGGCCTCAGGCAACCAGGCAGAGGTCAACACAGAAACCCCCTAAGACCATGGCCTCAAACACAGCTTCAGGTGCCCACAGAGGGCCAGGAGGGCTGGGAATGGTCACTGAGCATCTCCCAGGACACCCTGACCTGTGCTCTTTTCTGCCAGGGAACAGAGAGTGACGGGCATAGTCGTCTTCATCCTGACCGGAATCTCCGTCTTCCTGGCTCCCATCTTGAAGGTGAGGCTCTGCACCCTCGCCCGGTGCCCTGTGGCCTGAGAGAGCGCAGAGCTGAGGCCTCAGAGGCGGGCAGGGGTCCCCATGTAGCCTGGGGATCAGTGGCCCCTAAAAAAAGGAAGGGTCTTGGGCCAAAGTAATGTTTCAATATCGTCATCGTCATTTTCCATGATATTGTGTCACTTGTCATCATCACCAATCCTCACTGCTTTCTCCCTGCCTCCATAGTCCACTCTTACCTTTCTTTTCTTCTTTCTTTCTTTCTTTCTTTCTTTCTTTTTTCTTCTTTCTTCTTTCTTTCTTTCTTTCTTTCTTTCTTCTTTCTTCTTCCTTCCTTCCTTATTCCTTCCTTCCTCTTCCTTCCTTCCTTCCTTCTTCCTTCCTTCTTCCTTTCTTTTTTTTTTTTTTTTTTTTTTTGACAGAGTCTCGCCTTGTTGCCCAGGCTAGAGTGAGTGCCGTGGGGTCAGCCCGCTCACAGCAACCTCAAACTCCTGGCCTCAAGCAATCCTGTTGCCTCAGCCTCCCAAGTAGCTGGGACTACAGGCATGGGCCACCATACCTGGCTAATTTTTTCTCTATATATATTAGTTGGCCAATTAATTTCTTTCTATTTATAGTAGAGACGGGGTCTCGCTCTTGCTCAGGCTGGTTTCGGACTCCTGAACTCGAGCAATGCGCCCGCCTCGGCCTCCCAGAGAGCTAGGACTACAGGCGTGAGCCACCGCGCCCGGCCAAGAATGTGTTTTAAATGGCCAGTAAATATTTCCTGTTGTGGAGAAGGTTCCAAAGAACCACTGTGTATGTCAATCCTGACGCTGTTTAACAGACAAGTATTTGCATTTAAAAAAATTGTATCTAAGAACAGTGTTCTTTAGGGGCCCAAATTTCCCATAAACACCCGTTAGTGTTGGCACAGTGTCCTGTGGTCCCCGAAGTGTTCCAATGTGATCCCCCTGAGGACAAGGTGGAGCAGCCTTTGTTCGACGTGGGGGGCCACAGCTGCAGGGGAGGGACAGGATACAGGAACAGAAACATAGCTTAAACGGACAGTGGAGACATGCCTCGAAAGGGTGTCAAAGGGTGTCAAAGATTGGACTGATTGAGGCTTACAGAACGGTATGAATTATGTGATCCACCCTTGAAAAAGCAAACAAACCTCCTGTGTGCGTGTCTGGAAGGAAAGGTTCCCACCAAACTAGTGGTGGTTAGTTGATGACAAGTGGTGGTTAGTTTATACACTTCTGTTTTGCTTCTTTTTTATCTGATTGTCAATGATGTGTGATTTTGGTTAAGTGTCCTTGGCGCTCCCTAACAGTCCCAAGCCCCTGTGGGCGGAGCAGCTTTGGAAGCCCCCATCTGAGGCTGGAGGTGGGAAGGAGTGGGGAGGGGACAGTCTGTGGAGCTTTCCCACTTTCCAGAAGGGGTGTCATCAGCCAGACCGCATGGCCAGAGGGGCCGGGCCAGGAGAGCAGCCGGTCGGTGGTGGGCGAGCTACCCCCACTGGAGCAGGGAGCAGTAGAGCCCCAGCGACCCTCCTCGCCCACCCCCACCCCCACTCTGGCTCCGTGTGCTCTCGGGCCCTCAGTGCCTCCACGCACCCGATCCCCAGCTGCCTCTGTGGTTGCCAGAGGCCATCACCCGGCCCAGGGCTCGCCCAGTCCCAAGCTCTGCTCTCATTTTAGTACATCCCCATGCCGGTGCTGTACGGAGTCTTCCTCTACATGGGCGTGGCCTCCCTCAATGGCATCCAGGTAAGATACCACCCCAAGTCAGCACTCTGTGTCTGGCTCCCTGTCACCAAGACCCCAAATGCTTGCTTTCCCAATTCAGTGAAGGAACAACAGTAATAATGATACTACCATCCACGATGTGCCATACAAAATAACTATGCGAGCCACTGTATAGGTGGCATATAATTTAATCTATATAATTAGGTCCTCAGATCCCATTTTACAGATGGAGAAACTGAGGCTCAGAATTCAAAACCCAGATCAAGTTGACTCCAATGAGCATTTCACTACACCTCTTCTCTCTTCCTCAAGGCAACTCCATAGAAGAAAATATTTTTGTTTTGTTTTGTTCTATATTTACCATGAAAGCCCAGGATGTGTGGGATAGTTTGCCTTGCAGTTAAGTCGCATCTCCTGGAATATGGACAATGTTCATTTTGTGGTCAACTCTGGGCTATCCCCTCTCCCAGGGCTCAGGACCCTTCTCCAAGGCCCCATTATCTACCTGCCCAGACACCTCCAGCCCCCTCCTGTATATCCCTAAGGCCTGAGCAGGGTCTCCTCTCTGAGACCCCACCAAGGAACCCCCCTGCCCCAGTCCCAGGCCCCCATGGCCTAGCTGCCTGGCTGAGTCCCTCGATGTCCCCCCAGTTCTGGGAACGCTGCAAGCTCTTCCTGATGCCCGCCAAGCACCAGCCAGACCACGCCTTCCTGCGGCACGTGCCCCTGCGCCGGATCCACCTCTTCACCCTGGTGCAGATCCTCTGCCTGGCGGTGCTCTGGATCCTCAAGTCCACGATGGCTGCCATCATCTTCCCAGTCATGGTAAGGTGGGCGCGGGCTTCTCTCTCCCACTTGCTGGGTTGGCCTGGGCAGGCAACCCCTGGGCAATGCAGTGGCAGGTCCCCTGGCAAGCGCCTCAACTCCCATCTGTCCTCCACTTTCAGCTCACCCATGGCCTGGCTCCGTCGGTTGCAGAGGCAGACACAGAATAATCTGGTTTGAGTTGTGAGTCCAGGCCAGATGGTATGGGGTGGAGGACGCGAGGAGACACAGGAAAGAATGTCAGTGTGGAGGGTGGACTCTGCAGCGACAACCCCCATGTGAGGTCAGGGCCGCTCAGTAAGAACACTGAAGCCACCCAACCTCCCAGCTCTGGGGAGGGACAGGGAAACAGACAAATTCAAGGGGAGAACGAGTTCCCCATTGCAAAAATGCAAACTGACCTCGGAAGTCCATCTGTGCTAAATACAAATCTTTTCACCATTCAAAATATCTGAACTTGAAAAGACAAATAGTGAGAAGAGAAAAAGAGCTAGAATCAAAGATCAAGAACTTAAAAATCCAATGACAGGCCGGGCACAGTGGCTCACACCTGTAATCCTAGCACTCTGGGAAGCCGAGGCGGGCAGATCATTTGAGCTCAGGAGTTCGAGACCAGCCTGAGCAAGAACAAGACCCCATCTCTACTAAAAAATAGAAAAAAATTAGCCGGGCATGGTGGCACGTGCCTGTAGTCCCAGCTACTCGGGAGGCTAAGGCAGGGGGTTCGCCTGAGCCCACAAGTTTGAGGTTGCTGTGAGCTAGGCTGACGCCATGGACTCTAACGCCAGGCAACACAATAAGACTCTGTCTCAAGAAAAAAAAAAAAAAATCCAACGACAATATGAAGGTTGAGCTGGAAAAATATATGCAGGAGTTCTTTGACTATTTTTACAAGTTTTATGTAAGTTTGAAATTATTCCAAAATAAAAAGTGAAAAGGAAAAAACCAAGAGTATGTTGCATCTGGCCCCCTAGTTAGCAGCACAGGAGGGCGGTGGCCCTGGCCTTGCTGGGGTCCTGCGCGGGTGAGCTAAGGTCTGGGGAGAGCCTGGGGGCTCTGGGTCAGGGGCACTCCTGGGAGGGCTCTAGTGGTTCTTGGCCCCAGTGGCCCATTATAACCAATCCAGATCAATTAAATGAGAATGTCCTGGGGAAACTCAGGCTGGGTGATTTCAGTAAGTCTACAGGTGAGCTATAACTGTGCAGCCAGGGCGAGAACCTGCACTGCAAGGAAAGGGAAACGGGCCCTCCCCAGCAGCGCCCTCGTGGACTTCAGAGACGATGAAGAGAAAGGAAACAGTGACGGCAGTGACTGGCATTTACCCAGTGCTGTTCCATTCAGCCCACGCCAGCCCCTGCAGTATACTACTAGTAACCCCACTTCACCCATGAGAAAACGGGGGCTCAGAGAGCATGAGCGAGTGACCCAAGTCACACAAGCAGGACTGGGCAGAGCAAGAGCTGCACCCCTCACCTATTGGATTTTTTTTTCCACTTTGTTTACACACAGAAAAAATCACTCTGGTTCTGTGAGTTTTGGCAAATATACAGAATGGTGATTCCACCTCCACAGCCATGATACAAAACAGCCCCTCAGCCCCAAAGCTCCCTCCTGCTGCCCCTCCGCAGACAGCCTCTGTCCCCATCCCAGCCCCTAACCACTGACCTGCGCTCAGAGCTGGGGTTTTTAAAACCCCGGTTTGTCCAACTCCTGAGTTCTTCTTGCTCCCAAGAAGCAGCGTCAGCGAGGAACCAGTGTCAAATTCAGCTGAGTGGTTTTCTCCCTGACCTCATTTAATGGCCAGTTCCTGGTGGTGAGAGGATAGTATAAATATCTAGCCATCCCAGGCCCACAGAGCTTATGGAAAGGTCAGCTTCTAATCGTCCCCGAAGAGCACTTGTTTCCTCCTTTAATTCATGCATCCTGAACAGAACCAAACTTTCTAAACTTTCCCTTAAAAATTCCAGATATCCAGTATAATCGCTATCAGCTTCTGGAGGTTTTGTTTGTTTGTTTTTAATTTTTTTTTTTTTTTTTTGAGACAGAGGTCTCCACTTTGTTGCCCAGGCTTAGAGTGAGTGCCGTGGCGTCAGCCTAGCTCAACAGCAGACCTCAATCTCCGGGCTCAAAGCAATCCTCCTGCGCAGCCTCCCTGAGTTAGCTGGGACTTACAGGGCATTGCCCACCATTGGCCCGGCTAATTTTTTCTATATATATTAGTTGGCCAATTAATTTCTTTCTACTTATAGTAGAGACGGGGGTCTCACTCTTGTTCAGGCTGGTTTCGAACTCCTGATCTCGAGCAATCTGCCCGCCTCAGCCTCCCAGAGTGCTAGGATTACAGGCGTGAGCCACCGTGCCCGGCCTGTTTATTTGTTTTAGAGACAGAGTCTTACTTTGTTGCCTGGACTAGAATGCTGTGGCATCAGCCTAGCTCACAGCAACCTCAGACTCCTGAGCTCAAGAGATCCTTCTGCCTCAGCCTCCCAAGTAACTAGGGCTGCTAATTTTTTCTATATATTTTTAGTTGGCCAATTAATTTCTTTCTATTTTTAGTAGAGACAGGGTCTCGCTTTTGCTCAGGCTGGTTTCCAACTCCTGACCTTGAGCGATCCTCCCACCTCAGCCTCCCACAGTGCTAGGAGTACAGGTGTGGTGAGCCACCACGCCTGGCCTTCAGCTTCTGTTAAAAGAGAGATTGGCATCTCTCAGAAATGGAGACAGAGAGACAGTAGGACTCCAAGTGGGATCCTCAGACTGGCAGCGTCAGCATCATCTGAGGACCTGTTAGATGACTGTGCCTTGCCCAGGCACTGAGGCAGGTGCTGTGGGGGTGGGACCAGCACTTTGTGTATGAACAAGCCCTCTAGGTGGTCCTGAGGCATGCTGGAGTTTAAGAAGCACTTAAAGAATAACAGTAGTTCTCCAGCATGTGGTCTCCTCCCAAGCCCCCCACTCCAGTGTCACAGGCTCTGTCCCTCTGTCACTGGTTTTGATGGTCACCCACCTGAGAGGCCAGATGACAGGTGCCATGGTGGAGGATAGGTGAGTAACGGTTTGTGGGAGCTTTGAGATGGCTCCAAAGACATGAACTACAAAAAGTCCCTGAATCCAGCCAACTGAGGGTGAAAAAACTATGCCTGAGTTTGGGCATTGAGACCACATTTTTCTCTGAACTCCCACAAAACTTCCGCCTGTCTGTCTGTCTGTCACCATAGATCCTGGGCCTCATCATTGTCCGAAGACTTTTGGACCTCATCTTCTCCCAGCACGATCTGGCCTGGATTGACAACATCCTCCCGGAGAAGGACAAAAAGGAGACAGACAAGAAGAGGAAGAGGAAGAAAGGGGCCCATGAGGACTGTGATGAGGAGGTGGGGAAGATGTGAGACCTGGGCAGAGGGGAGAGGTCAAGTGACCTTCCCTCCATGTTGGCCAGGGCCAGGGAGGGGGTGGCTTCGCAGGTGGCCTGCAGCGATGCCTGGGGCCAGGTGGGATGAGCTGGGCTTCTGCTTGTCTCAGTCTGGGGTGCTGGGAGCACCTCTGTTCAAGTGAGTATCCTCAGGGTGGGTCAGAATGAATGAGCCTCCCTGCCCAGGGAAATGCCGACTGGCCATGCCCACTCTTTCCCAGCACTGAGGGCTTCCAGAGCCTTTATCCACAGCCGTGAGGTTCCTAGGGAATGGGACGGAAGATAGCTCCAGCATGGAAGGAGGTTATGAGGTCAGATCTCCAGAGAACGGAGCAGGCCTGTGGCAAGGGGTCTGTTGGGCACCTATAAGTATACTGGACTCTTGGACCGGCAGGAGGACCTGAGCACAAGTTTTCCTTGGGCCTGCCCCTAGGGTATTGGGGCTAAAGGTGGGGGAAGAGGCAGGTATCCTTGCTGAAAGGAGAATGACTACGTTTCCTAGGTGCTGGGACTCCCTTGCTGTCTTGTCTACCCCTCTCATGTCCCCTGCTTCCTCCCATCCCATCCCCAAAACACACCAGTTGGTGGTCTTTAAACCATCTTATGATGTAGTGATCAGCCCAAATTCCCCCACTCCTTTATTACTATCCAGGATGGAAAGAATCCCACAATTCATATTTTTTGTAAATGATTTGTAAAGGTAGGTTCTGAAAACAAACAGAAACTAAGTGCCTTTGAGCAAGGTGGCTCACACCTGTAATCCTAGCACTCTGGGAGGCCAATGCAGGAGGATTGCTTGAGGTCAGGAGTTCGAGACTGGCCTGAACAAGAGCGAGACCCCGTCTCTACTAAAAACAGAAAAAATCAGCCAGGTGTGGTGGCACACGCCTGTAGTCACAGCTGCTTGAGAGGCTGAGGCAGGAGGATTACTTGAGCCCAGGAGTTTGAGGCTTCTGTGAGCTAGGCTGACGCCACAGCACTCTCGCTCTCCAAAAAAGAAAAGAAACTAAGTGCCTTTTAATGACAAATACTACTTCTTTCATTGATTCACTCTGTAAATATTTGAGTGGCTACCACATGCCGGGAGCTAGTAATCTCTGGGTTATATGATATATTCAGTGGAAGAACAGGATTCCATTTACACAAATTCATTTTACATGTCTTTACAGCTATAGTGGGAAGCTCATTCCCAAGTGACTAGTTGCTGTGACAGATAAAACTGTTTTAATGAGTAACTTTCCTGGAAGAATCCTGTCCTGCCCCATGGCGTGTGCAGGACAGCAGGCTAACCGTGCCCATTTCCCTCGGTGGGCCCAGAGTGTGTGCAGCAGCCCAGTTTAGTCTAGAGGTGAAGAGGATGGTGGTTTGTGCCATGGATGCGTGTGTTTTCCGTCTCAGCAAGAAAGGCGAAGCCGCTGTACTAGTGGTGTTTACCAGCTTTTCCCACTGTTTTTCTCCAGCCCCAGTTCCCTCCTCCCTCAATTATAAAGATTCCCATGGAAAGTGTCCAATCAGATCCCCAAAACGGTATCCACTGCATTGCCAGTAAGTAAAACACATGTCTCTGCCTTCCTACTTACTACTAATCCTCCATCTCTTCCCCCAAGGGACTTCCATCTGTCACTCAAGGGCATCTAATTGTTTGGGATGTTAGAGGACTCCTGTGCTAGGCAGAGATCAGAGAACCGGCCCGCTGGGACTCCAACCAGATGGACACCCCAGAGCAAACCCTGCACACTCACTTTAGTTGAGGCAAAATCCCTCATTCCTTCCTTTCCTTGGGTGCCCTCAGATGCCTGTGGCACCGCCTGGCCCTCTTCTGTGTAGTTTCAGGCCACCTCAGTCCAAACATGGCCTACTGAGCCTCCCACACCTCCAGTGTTGTTGAAGTGATTGAGAGCTCAAACCAGCGCTGAGCCTGCCCCTTAGGGACAGGTAGCACAGCGTTTGGATCGTAAGTCAGGCAGAACTGGAGGTCCCAGTGGTTGGGCTGTGATTCTGTATGAATCACAAGCATCTTCCTTTGGCCAAAAGGGAGGCTCCTGGAGGGGCTCAGGCATTGCTTATGAAGATTCCAGGAGATTCTACTGCTGCCTCCCAGACTCAGCTCTCTACTGGAGGACAGTCCTGTCATCAAAACAGCACAGCCCGCCCCAGGAGTCTTCTAAAAGATCCTTACCGGGTCTGGACCCTGGTGCTTCTAATACAGGGCTTGCCACTTGCCTCAAAGGCAGAGATTAGGGGTGGGTAGCCAGGGATCCTTCCTATCACCACTCTCCATCGTCCGTACCTCACTCCCCACCAGCATTTGTAGACATCCATCATCCTTTCTAACTCTTCCCTGGCCCTCCTGCACCTCATTACCTCCTAACCCAGCTAGAAGCCCTCTAGATGAAGGAATAACTGAGCCAGAAGCCACCATCTCTGAGGCCCTAGCATTCCTCCCTCTTGTGCAGTGCGATGGCTGTGGGGTTGGAGAACAGAAAAGGGGGGAGACTGTGGTTGAAGCACTGGAGAAACAAGAAATTCTCCAGTCGTGCTCAAACCTGCCCTGTGTCTGACATTTTAATTTTCCTGCCAGGAAAAAGATCTTCCAGTTGGAGTTACTCACTCTGATTCTTCCTTCAGTGACTCAGAACTGGATCGCAGGTAAACACCTCTAGGCAGACTACTTGGGTGTTAGATAAGAGTCTAAGTGAAGGCCTTTGCTGGCCCCCTACTGGGAGATAAAAGCCAACAGACCTGAGTGATTAGGGTCAGGTAACAGATGTATCTTCTTACTGACAACAATGTGGTTACAACGCACAAAGGTATTTAACTTTAGAAAAGGAAATTACTACAAGATTAGGTAGAACTAAAGTTGAATGTAGGCCAGGTGCGGTGGCTCAGGCTTGTAATCCTAGCACTCTAGGAGGCCAAGGTTGGCGGATTGGATTGCTCGAGGTCAGTGAGTTCAAAACCAGCCTGAGCAAGAGCGAGTAAGAAATAGAAAGAAATTAATCGGCCAACTAATATATATAGAAAAAATTAGCCGGGCATGGTGGCACAAGCCTGTAGTCCCAGCCACTCGGGGGAGGCTGAGGCAGAAGGATCGCTTGAGCCCAGGAGATTGAGGTTGCTGTGAGCTAGGCTGACACCGCGGCACTCTAGCCTGGGCAACAAAGTGAGACTCTGTCTCAAAAAAAAAAAAAGAAAAGAAAAAGAAAAGGAAAAGAAAAGAAAAGAAAAAGAAAAATAAGAAAGAAAAAAAAAGAAGCCTAAATGAAAACTCTAATTTCCCATTTTCAGGCAGTAGAGAGAGAATTTGGACCAGGATAGGAGTTTCCAAAAACCTGTTATAGTACACAAAGTCATGAGACAAAGTTGAAGGGCAGAAAACTTGCTAACTGGAGATGATACCTCCCAATACACTGGTGTTTTACTAAATTTACGAAAATGGATGGAGGCAAGGACCTCTAAATAGTGGGGCTCCACTTCAGTGAAGAAAAGAGAAAAGGCTCAGCAACATGATCTAGTGTAACAAAGATTACGCATCAGTGACCTACCTGGTGGGATGCTTCATCCCTGGGGATGCAGAAAGACACATAAACAAAAACAGCGCTGTGCAGAATAGGGGAGCACACTTAAGAGAAAGGAGGAAGGACAGTGGTCTAAAGGAGGAACTAGCCTTACCTAGAGACTCTAGGAAGGATAAACAGGAGCCTGCCAGATGTACAGCATGGGGCAGAGCAGAGGAAAAGAGAAAAGGGCATTCCAGGCAGCAGGCACAGGCCTGAAGGACCAATTGAAAACACAATACAGAGCAAAGAGCACAAAATACTGGGGTGGATGGGTAGTCAAAATGGTGAGCAGGCAGCAGTGCGAACAGGGAAGGCCCTGTCTTGCCATGCCAAGGAACCTGGATTCTATCCTTTGAACAATGGGAACCACAGCCAGATTTGTGGCTAAGAAAGTTCACTTTGGCAGTAATGTGAAGATAGGTTGAAAGAGGGCGAGACCAGTTACATGACTATGGCCAAAGGCCAAGCAGACAGGAACCTGCTCTGTCCAGCAGGCACTAAGAGTTCAGAAGCAAAGACAGAACTATGTGCATTAGAGTCTTGCTCTGGGGGATGGGGAGGGGATGGTGTTCAAAACACCAAGAACTAGATAAATTCTTCTTCTTCTTTCCTACTTCTTGTTCAGCATCACCTTGCACTTCCAAATCTCCTGTCCAGCTTCACCTGCTTTCAACTACTCGCGGAGCCCAGTGTTCATGGTGCCACAGGTGAAAATAGAGATGGAGTCGGACTATGACTTCACAGACATGGACAGATATCGAAGAGAAGCTGCTGGCGAGACCACCCTCTGAGATGAAGCAGCTTCTCCCAGATCAGGGATAGAGGGAGGGCCTGGTTCAGTCTTAACTGGGAGAGTCTTGACTTCTTGGTGCCTGTTTCCTTCTTCACCAAACAGAGGGAGTCCTTTTGCCTGACAGAAAACTGGAGATCTGTCAATGTACTACATAGGTGCAAAGCTCTCCTCTCCCCTTCCCTTTGTAGTTATCAAAACACCTAAAGCTAAACGTTATACCTTATTTTAAAATGCATTCCAGCATAGAGATTATAATATTTCTTTTGAAATGAAAAATGTTTGTTTCCCCAAACCATAGCTAAGATAAATGGGCAATCGTCAATTTATATTTAAAACAAATAACACTTTGAAAAAATTTTAAAGGCTATATTTTAATCTAGATGGTCTTAAAATACTCTTACATCAATAGACCATGGTTGGAATTTTTGTTTTGCAGTTTTGCATATTAAGAAATGCTGAAAAGGTCCAATCTTTTCTGTCCATTGCATTCAGTTTTCTAAGGGTTCTACAAAAAGTTTGAACCATCTGCATTAAGTGTGACTGCGGCTTTCCCAGATTGAAAAGCCAGTTCCAAAAATCTGTTCATGAAAGAGCCAGTGCATTTGAGTGGATGTTTTTAAAATAAAATAGTTCTTGAAATTTCAAACCACTTATGAAATCAACAAAATGATTGTTTAAATTAGTATAACTGGTTTTTCATAGCTGGAATCGCATTTCTTTATGCATTTGGGTAGGTCATTTCTGCAAATTTTCAATGCCGATCCCCAAAGTCAAACTCCCATTCTCACCAACATCACATGTTAAGCAGAGCTAACGTCACATTTTGGAAGATTGTAACTTTGTAATATTAATCAAACTAGTACTTTAAAGGAATGATTGGAAGCCATTTGGATAGATTAAAATCAGTTAATGAAGCAAACCTTTTCCCCATGAAACTGAAGAGCAGTCATTTTATCATCAATCCACATTTCACAAACACCAACCATGTTTATTTAACACCTACTATGTGCCTGATAGCCACAATGCATCTGACATTTACTTTCTCCAAAACTATGGATTTGAATCTTGAGTAAATCACTTTGGTTATAGTTACCACATTTACTCAAGATGACAAATGCAGGTGCTTGCTTTTTTAAAGAAGACTGATACTAGATCATTAACACTTTGAGTACCAGGACTGCTAATTACCTGTATTCCCTAGAGCCTAGTATAGTGAGTGCCTGGTCCATAGAAAGCTCTCAATAAGTATTTATTAAATTTAATCTCAGAGCTTCCTTCCAAGGGATACTGCCAAGAGGTAAAGCTCTAAACCTCTACCACTCCTACTGATAGCAGATTTACTTAGCTGGTCACTAACCCAGAACCATCTCCTGAGCATAACTATAAATTCTTTACATTCATCTGCACCAATCCTCGGAAATCTAACAATCTACCCTTAACATTTCAGTTTTAAAAGCTGGCTATACAAACGTTTAGGTTACACAAAAAAAAAAAAAAAAAAAAAGAAAAGAGAAAAAAAAAAGCTGGCTGATTTGGAAACGTACTTCGTCCAAATCAAATTGTAGAAATGTTATGGATTCAAGAGTAAACCTGCTTGATTAATCAAACAAACTAGAAAACTACCATGTTAATTTTTCATGTTGTTGTAATCACTGTAATTTTTACCTTACATGTCACTTATATTTTGTATATACACAAACATTTTAATTTCCATAGCTTTTAACAGGTTCACATATTATTACTTCTCCATGCAGTAAGTCAGTAATTTTTTCCACTTGTAACTATAATTCAATAAAATGTAATCCTGTCGGCTCATCTTGGTCCATGTTTAATAATTTAGGTAAGTCAGCAGGCATGGCTTACAGACATGAATGAGCTATACCTCACTTACAAAAACATATCTGGCTAACTATCATCTTCTTTCCTCTAAGAAAACTATCAAAAGAATAAAGCCAGCTGGCAGAGGAACAAGGGAGGTTAACTCCCCAATTGTTCTGTTTTCTCTTTCTGCTTCAAGCTGCCTAGAGCAGGAGATCCTTCTGTTTGCATGAAAGCCAAAGCACACGAGGGCCCCAGGGCCCATCCTGGACTCAACATATGCTCGGCAAACATATTCCAATCTGTCCAATCAAATGAATGCTTTTTTTTTTTTTTTTGAGACATAGTCTCACTTTCTTGCCTAGGCTAGAGTTTGAGTGCTGGGGCATCAGCCTAGCTCACAGCAACCTCAAACTCCTGGCTCAAGCAATCTCTCCTGCCTCAGCCTCCCAAGAGCTGGACTTCAGGCATGTGCCCCATGCCCAGCTCATTTATATATATAACATAGTATAGGCTATAATATAATATATAATTAGTATATTACTATATAATTAGTTGGCCAACTTAATTTTTTCTAGTTTAATAATAGAGACGGGTTATCGCCCTGCCTCAGGCTGGTCTCGAACTCCTGACCCAACGATCCACCTGCCTCGCGCTCCCCCAGAGCAATGCTAGATTACAGGCGTAAGCTACTCGCCGCCCTGCTCCCCAAATTAATGTCTTTAAACACAACACAAACACACACTAACACACCACACACACACACACACACACACAACACACACACACACACACGAGACTAAGCCCTTAAATGAATCTTACAGATTAAGCTCCTGGCTTGGTACAACCTGTTGGGATATAATACTGAAAGGACTAGGCTGGTTCCTCCACAACTCTTTAAACCTTAGGATTGAGTGTTACCAACTATAGAAATACCTATAAGTTGACTACATCCAGTGAGAAAAAACTATGGCTAGGTAACAACTAAGACAGTAGCAGGAAGACAACATTTCAGAAACTCATTCCACACAGATGTGTTTTATTAAAAAAGGAAAAAAAAAATCCCTTTAATCAGAAAGTCTGATTAAATTCAATATTAACTCAAGCTCTTAAAAATCTTTTGGGAAAGCCAACAGGGTACATCACAGAAAAGCAGGCAGCTGCTGACAATTCTTTGGTGGAAAAGTAAGTTGCATACTTATATGAGCTGCCCAAATGATTATCAAGCCCAAGCTTTGTTTTTCAAAAATAGGTTTCAAGATATCCCAAAGAAACCATAGATACCCTCTAACAATACAAAAATTTAACAATGAAATTTAAGTATGTAGCAAAAGTCAAATATGATAATACACATGAATAATTTATAAAATAAGCCTTTCAGTCATAGAAAACTAAAATGAGGAGACCTCACTGATGGATAACATACATAAAACGAAGGCTAATAGCCAATGGAACAACTTAAACATTTTCCCAATGACTGACTGAGCCACAGAAAAACAGCTTAGGAAAACTACTAACAGGTAGGTTTTCTTTTTTCCTAGCCAATTCAGTTCTACTTGGATAAATCTGGTTATCCATCAATACACATACAAATTGCAGTAATTTTTTCTACTCAATTACCACCTTTTTCCCCTTTCACTTCTTCCCTAATTTTCTCTAGCAACATTTTTCCTTTGGTTTGACCAGTTGACCTCAGAAGGTTTAGAACCTAAAATGAGTATCAACTCTTATTGGAATAGCACTTGGGAAATGCAATCCTAGAAAAGGCAAATTTTTAACGGAGGTGGCTTGACAAAGTGAAGCATCCATTCTCAATGTGATGATGTCTCCCGTGTTAGTCCCTAGGTTAATGGCTGCGCTTGGCTAGATCACATGACCCAGCAAGATACTGGAATGGTCCTTGGTGAGGTACTGCACAGCCATGTGCACAAACACCCACCCATTTAAGCTTCCAATAAATACAAAGCATCATTTTAAACCATTTCAGTAGAATAAATAAAAAATATTGCATTTCTAGTAGCCTGCTTTGCTTCTTGAGCTGGCTTGGAATGCTCTTCATGACAAAGAAGACACAACAGTTAATTAGTGGCTACTCCAAGCTCTTTAGACTTCAGCACTTCCCGCTCTTCAAGCCTCAGCAATTTTTTTGCAGCAATAATGGTATTCTTCATTAGCATCGCCACTGTCATGGGACCAACACCCCCAGGAACTGGAGTGATGTAACCAGCTTTTTTTCTGACTCCTACATAGAAACAAGACAAGGCAGGCTGCTTCAATTATGACAAAGTACATGTATATACTTACTTACTTACTAATTTATTTATGGGGAAGAGTCTCACTCAGTTGCCCCAGCTAGAGTGCCATGGCATCAACCTAGCTCACGGCAACCTCCAACTCCTGGGCTCAAGCAATTCTCCTGCCTCAGCTTCCTGAGTAGCTGGGACTACAGGCATGTGCCACCATGCCCGGCTCATTTTTCTATATATTTTTAGTTGGCCAATTAATTTCTTTCTATTTTTAGTAGAGACGGGGTCTTGCTCTTGCTCAGGCTCATCTCGAACTCCTGATCTCGAATGATCCTCCCACTTCGGCCTCCCAGAGTGCTAGGATGACAGGCAAGAGCCACCGCGTCCAGCCAACATGTATATACTTTAACATATTATGATAGAAGCATGCAAAGAAAAAGCAATATATAAGAGCACCTTTATTAGTCTCAAACTTATTTAAAAATCACGTCTATATTACTCAAGAGCAACCCACTGTGCAACCCACTTCAGTGCCAGCAGCCTACTGGCACAGGCCAGGCAATGGTTCGGGGCCACAGTTTGCTCTAGCATGGGACACTATGAGAGGCCCAGGGGGACAGGCCTGCCATAAATCCAAACCCATGCATAAGAGCGAAAGTTTTTGAAAACGCTAATGAAATAACATGCACATGATAAACAGTTGTTCAATGAACATTTGTATATCTAAATAATTTACGATTTACCAGCCATACTTTTCCTCCATATTAAACAAATTTGAAAAGAAACCTTCAGTAGGTTAACTGTATGGGAGTTACAACTATAATAATAAACATTACCTTAATGCCTGCCTACGATATTTTCTTAATTTAAATATAATTTGCCAAAGCACTAAAGTAACTTTCCGTAAAGATTTTTTTAACCCAATTTTAAAGGAAAAATCCTTAGATATCTAACCATGGGTTTGACAGCTTTAATAGAAACAGAAAGCTAGGAATAGGATTATCAGCATAAAATTCAGATAAACAGGATACCTTAAGAACTAAAAGTTATTCACTTTTAGAGATTCTTTTGGTGGGAGAGGGAGGAAAAACTAGCATATTCCAGAATTACCAGAATATGGCTTTTTCCTGGACCATTTTACCTTTCCAGGTCTGTGATCTCTCCTCTCAGTGAGAAATTGAACAATCTGTAACAATTTTTAAGAAACTCAATGGTTTAGGAAAATCACCTCATTACATTTTCAAACTAGTTAAAACTCATGAAGTTGTTTCCAGTATGAAATAGTCTAAAGGGAAAAAAAACAACTCTCTGAAAAGATCACCTATAATAATTCTAGAATGGCTCTAAAAGCTTTCTCTTAATTCTTGTGAAAGGCATTGTAAACACTATTACTAAGGTAACAAGAGTTTAAAAGTTAAAAGTAAAGGATTTGTTCTAAATGTCCATTAATAAATATTAATTTATTGATTTTTTTCTTTAATTATACCATTTACCTTCAAAATCCACATCTCCAACCAATCTGGGTTTAGCAGTTATAGGATCTTGAACTCTATTTATTCCCACATCAATCACTGTTGCTCCCTCCTTGATCATATCCGCTGTGATCAGATTTGGAATGCCTAGAAATGGAGGTAGGAATAATTAACTTAGTACTGAAAAGAAGATTCTACCTTTCAGATTCTTATCTAATTTCAATCTGGAAGAATAGATTAACATGTTTTATAAACACCTATTAAAATATTAATGAAGAAACCATTTAAATTTCATATACTAAATAAAAATATTTTGAGGTTTCAGGAATAACATTCACCCATCCTGTCTATAATGGAATGCCAGCAACCAATATTTCAACCACAACTCTATCCTCATCTTCATAGGCAGCTCGAAGTATCATTACTTAGGGGAATGATGAATGGAATGGCAGTCAGGCAGGCAAATTCTAAGAGGTACAACCTCCTACTTCTGAGGTAAAGTCCTTCCTCCCTTCTCCCTTGTGTTCTTACCTGCAGCAGATACTACAATATCTGCAAGAATTGTATGTTTCTTCAACTGCTCTTTGGGAGTATATCGGTGACATATTGTAACAGTGGCATCACCTATGAAGAAAAAAATAGATATCCTGATTTCTGAATCCAAGCTGGGATTGGATTAGGTCTCAGCTAGTCAAGTCATGGTAGAAAGTAAACATCTCTGAAAAATAATTGACTTAATGCTTGTATCATATTAATATTTTCTGGACAGCTAATTGTCATTTACATTTTAAAATTATTATGTAATTTCTTATAGCTTTACCATTGGTTCTAGTTCTAGCTCTACTATTGGAGCCATATGCAATTAAGTTTATTCTTTATCCAATTTAACAGTCTTTCAAGAACTTTACCTTTTCTAAGCAAAATGTCACTAAGAAAGGTTTGTCTTTTTTCCCCAACGTATATTGAAAAGTACCTGAAAATACAGTTCTGCCATTATTTCTCATATAATTATGTAAGACATTATTAAAATAATCAACATAACTGATAGAACTTGATACATTATAGTCGTATCAATTTAATCCTTTACAATGATCTCAGAATTTTTCCACCAAATGACACAGAACAGGATACTAACTTTGAATAAGAACTGCTACTTAGTTCCAACTATCAAAGCTATTACTGGAAATTTCTAATTGTCTACAACCATGTTTATATTCATAACTTAAATTTATTTCTGAGGCTAGTTCCATAATAAATTAGTAATAAAGAAATTCTGGTGACAAAGTACAGCTTCTCTACAAAGGTTACTCCCTGAATATCTGTTAACAAAATTAAAAATACAAATACAGGCCGGGCGCGGTGGCTCACGCCTGTAATCCTAGCTCTTGGGAGGCCGAGGCGGGCGGATTGCTCAAGGTCAGGAGTTCAAAACCAGCCTGAGCAAGAGCGAGACCCCGTCTCTACTATAAATAGAAAGAAATTAATTGGCCAACTAATATATATAGAAAAAATTAGCCGGGCATGGTGGCTCATGCCTGTAGTCCCAGCTACTCGGGAGGCTGAGGCAGAAGGATTGCTTGAGCCCAGGAGTTTGAGGTTGCTGTGAGCTAGGCTGACGCCACGGCACTCACTCTAGCCTGGGCAACAAAGCGAGACTGTCTCAAAAAAAAAAAAGTACCAGGCATATATGTTCAATAAAACTAATTTCATACTCTCTTGTCTTGATTTTTATACATATTTATACATATATGCACACTCATACATATATACCCTTAATATATAACAGATTTATGTATGCATACTCGTAAGGAAATATATATATTTATATACTATATATATATAAATAGTGAGAACTTGGCTTGCACTTCATAAAAAGTTTCTTTTGAAAGCAATAAACTTAGATAAAATGGTAGCAGCACATTCAGATAAAATTGATATACTAAAGTTAAGGACACAGGGTTCTGGGAGAAGCCAGTGTTCCAAGTCCAAGTCTTTGCTTCCAAAGGCAGGTTCTGGGTGTTATGCCAATTTGCTTTAAAAAATAAAACAAAAAAAAGTCAAAGGCTAATACAAACCAAAAACAAAGCCACAATGCAATATAACTGCATTTTAGCCCTTCCCACAACTCTGCAAAACATGGAACACAGCCTTGGGAGTGAGTTATTAACAAACTTTGCATCAGTTTGCCAACGGGCAGATAAAGTAACTACTACTCTAAAATAAACAGGGCAATGGAAACTCAGCTCAGTCCCACAGGGAATCAATTTTTTTCTTTCTTCCTTTTTTTTTTTTTGAGGCAGAGTTTTGCTCTGTCACCCTGGCTAGAGTGCCATGGCATCAGCCTACCTCACAGAAACCCCAAACTCCTGGGCTCCAGTGATCCTCCTGCCTTATACCCTCCTCCTGCCTCAGTCTCCCAAGTAGCTGGAACTACAGGCGAACACCATGACATCCGGTTAATTTTTTGTATTTTTAGTTGCCCAGCTAATTTTTTCTATTTTTAGTAATGACAGGGTCTCACTCTTGCTCAGGCTGGTCTCAAACCTCTGACCTCAAGTGATCCTCCTGCCTCTGCTTCTCAAAGTGCTAGGATTACAGGCGTGAGCCGCCTCGTCCAGCACAAATTGCAATCATATTAGCTAACATTTATCTAGAAATCAAATGCTTTCACAGATATATTTAGAAAAATTTCCATTAACATAATGAATCAATAGACTAGAAAATCAAGGACTATTTAAATAAAATTCAAAACTAAAATCCAATATTGAATTTATTGATTTTTTCTACATAACCTTTACAAATCCACATCTCCAAACCGAATCTGGTGGTTTTAATATGTAGGATCTTGAACTCTATTTATTCCCCACATCAAGTCACTGTGCTCCCTCCTTTGATCATATTCCGGCTGTGGATCAATTGGAATTGCCTAAGTAAAGGAGTAGAATATAACTATTACTGAAAGAAGTTCTACCTTTCAGATTGATCAATTCAATCGAAGAATAATAACATTGTTTATAACACACCTATTAAAATGTTAATGAAGAAACCAAGATTAAATTCATATACTAAATGAAAAATATTTTGAGCGTTTCAGGATAACATTCACCCGATCCTGTCTAAATGGAATGCCAGCAACCAAGTATTTCAACCACAACTCTATCCTCATCTTCATAGCGCAGCTCAAGTATCATTACTTTAGGGAATGATGAATGGAATGGCAGTCAGGGCAGGCAAATTCTAAGAGGTAACACTTCCTACTTCTGAGTAAATCCTCCTTCCCTTCTCCCTTGTGTTCGTTACCGCAGCAGATTATACAATATCTGCAAGAATTGTATGTTTTTCAACTTGCCTCTTTGGGAGTATATCGGTGACTTTGTAACAGTGGCATCCACCTATTGAAGAAAAAAAAATAGGATATGCCTGATTTTCTGAATCCAAGCTGGGATTGGATTATGGTCTCAGCTAGTCAAGTGTGTGTAATAGAATAAAAACATTCTGCAAAAATAATTGTACTTAATGCTTTGTATCCTATTAATAATTTTCTGGCAAGCTAATTGTCATTTACTATTAAAGGTTATTATGTAATTCTTATAGCTTTACCATTGGTTCTAGTTCTAGCTCTACTATTTGGAGGCTCATGCAATTAAATTCTATTCTTTATCCAATGTTAACAGTCTTTCAGCGAACTTTACCTTTCTAAGCAAAAGTCACTAAGAAAGTTTGGTTTTTTTCCCCGAACTTATTACTGAAAGGACCTGAAGAATCAGTTCTGCCATTATTTCCTCATATATATGAAGACATTATGAAGATAATCAACATAACTGATTAGAAACTTGATACATTGATATCGATCAAATTTAATCTTTACACGATGATCTCAGAATTTTACACCAAAAATGTGAACACAGAACAGGATTAACATTGAAAAGAACTGCTACTTAGTTCCAACTATCAAAGCTATTACTGGAATTTCTAATTGTCTACAACCATGTTGTATATTCATAACTTAATTTATTTCTGAGGCTATGTCCATAATAAATAGTAATTAAAGAAATTCTGGTGACAAAGTAAGCTTCTCTACAAAGGTTACTCCCTGAATATCTGTTAACAAAATTAAAAATACAAATACACGGCCGGGCGCGTGGCTCACGCCTGTAATCCTAGCTCTTGGGAGGCCGAGGCGGGCGGATTGCTCAAGGTCAGAGTTCAAAACCAGCCTGAGCAAGAGCGAGACCCCGTCTCTACTATTAAATAGAAAGAAATAATTGGCCAACTGATATATATATAAAAAAATTAGCCCGGGCATTGGTGGCTCATGCCTGTAGCCCCAGCTACTCGGAGGCTGAGGCAGAAATTGCTGAGCCCAGGAGTTTGAGGTTGCTGTGAGCTAGGCTGACGCCATGGCACTCACTCTAGCCTGGCAACAAAGGAGGACTCTGTCTC